GAGCACACCTTCGACGCGAGAGACGAAAGACGGATTCTGACGAGATTCTGACGAGAGATGGATGGATGACATGACAGCGTCGCGTGGATGCCGGGATCAGTACTTAGCGACTTAGCGAGGGTCTTGGGGGGGGGGGGGGTCTCGGTCTTGGTCTTGGTCTTGGTCTTGGGGGCGAGAGGGGAGGGGTATCGAAGCATACCCTACTCCCTACTCCCTACATACTCCCTACATACTTGCATACCGCCCACTGTCCCATATGTCCCATGTGTAGAGTAAGTACCATCGAATCGAAGCATGCCGCCCATCCCATGGCCATCCCATCCTGTCCGCCGCATCGACGTTCCTAAGACGGCTGTGCGAGCGATGATCTCGCGTTTATCTATTTTATGTATGTACCGACGGAAACAACTGGACATTGGAGGGGCGCGGGGGGGCGGGGACGGGAACGGGGACACGGACTGGCGGGAGGGAGGGAGGGAGGGAATACATAGCATACATAGCATAGGTACATAGCATACATAGCATAGGTACATAGCATACATAGCATAGGTACATAGCATACATAGCATAGGTACATAGCATACATAGCATACATATCATGCATAGCATAGCGAGGAAGAGGGGAGAGGAGAGGGGAGAGGAGAGGGGAGAAGGGAAAGGTCTATCAATCTACATATGATGACGCATGCAGCAGTGCGACTGACAGTGACTGTGACAGTGATTATGACTGTGCGAGCGCGAGTGGGTGAGTGGGTGAGTGGGTCAGTGGGTCAGTGGGTGGGTGGGTTCGGGCTCTGGAGTCTGCGGGGAAGAAAGAAAGTCCCCGTCGTCGTGACTCGTCGTTGCGTAAGTAGAGTAGGTATTTCTGGCCGTCCATCGACTCCATAGTCCATCCATCCATCCATCCATCCATCCATCACCGCTGACTCGCTATGTACATTATACATATGCTTATTACATACTACTAGGTAGGTAGTATCTCCAGTGTCAGTGTCCACATCAAGACATCAAGAAAGGCATCTACCTATCATACATAATCACACCTAACAATCAAGCCAGACCTAACCCAACCCCAACCCCAACCCCAACCCCAACCCCAGGCTCAAAATCAAAATCAGAATCAAAATCAGACTCAAAATCAGAATCAGAATCAAAGCCCACAGATCGGACACGGACCGGACACGGACACGGACCGGACACGGACACGGACACGGACAGGTCACAAACGTGGACAAACGTGGACAAACGTGGACAAACGTGGACAAACGTGGACAAACGTGGACAAACGTGTTATAGAAACGTGGAGTGGCGTGGGCGTGGGCGTGGGCGTGGGAGTGGAGTGGGGGGGGGCGGCCAAAGATGGATGGTCAGGGGAGGGGAGGGGAGGGGGGGGGCAACTGGGCAATCTCATCTCTCGCACCCAACCCAACCCAAGCAAGGGGTTGCTTGCTGGTCTGGTCGGTCGGTCGGTCTCGGGTGAACTACTCCAACTACTCCAGTGGTGTCGTCGAGACTCGCGAAGGAGAAGGAGAAGGAGAAGGGTCGCGTTGAGAAATGAGAAATGAGAAATGAAGGTCGGCCGGTCGGCCTGGTGTTTTTTTCTTTCTTTCTCTTTCTCTTTCTCTTTCTCTTTCTCTTTTGCGGATTTTTTCAAGCAGAGGGGGGGAAAAGAAAAGAAAAGAAAGAAAGAAAGAAAGAAAGAAAGACGGAAGAGAAAAAAGGAAAGAAACACAGATACAAATACTCTACAAACAGAAAGAGAAACAGAAAAAGAAAAGAAAGAAAGAAAGAAAAGGAATGGAAGAAGAAATAGAAACAGAAAGATAAACAGAAAAAGAGAAACGGATGGAAAACGGATGTCGACGGAACGAAAGAAAACAGAATTCGACTATACTATTCGAGTGCGTGGGGGGGGGGGGGGAGATCGACACTCGCACTGGGGGGGGCTCTTCCCCCTCGCACTCTACACACGATTGATAGGTAGCAACATCTTGGTAGATACTACTTCCTTATGCTGGTTGCTGCTCTATGTCGTGCCGCAAACGTGCTCAGCAGGTGTAGTCCACGCGGCAAAAACGAGGCAGTCGTGGACGGGGAGGGGTGGGGGGTTGGGTCGGTGGTGGTGGGTGGTGTGGTGGATGGAAAATTTCCCATAGGCGTTAGCTGCCGGCTAAGATTCCGTTCCGAGACAGAGCAACACGAGAATGCGCGACGATCCCAACTGTGAAGTGAGACTGAGCACCGAGGATTGGCTCGCGCGTCGGCAGCGATGGAGGGAGGATGGAGGGTTATTTTGAGCGAAGAAGAGATTCTGAGGAGGGCAATACTCTAGAGTATGGACGCCCCGACCGACTTGGTCTGTTTCTTCTTCTTCTTCATCTTCTTCTTCTTCTGCGTCTTCTGCGAACGAATACCTCTCGACTAGCAGGCAAGCATGTAGAGTACATATGATGTGTAGCACCCATCATCTTGCTCGGGTACTTACGTCTTACATACGATACATACCGTGCTCTAGTTACCTCACATCCGAGTTTCTGCAGGTACATCAGTGTCGGTCACTCTACTATATTCGGGTTATTGCGACCACGGGCGGCGGTGGTGTGGGTGCTCATCTGCAGTCGGAAACCCTCGCGATTTGCTCGCGCGACGACCGGTATGTACGGGGGCGAGGAGGAGGGTTTGGTACTATGGCAGGCACTGCGGAGAGGAGGGTTTGGTACTATGGTAGGTACTGCGTATGTATCGGGGCGAGGATGGTATGGAAGTAAACTACTGCGTATGTATCGGGGCGGCAGGACGGATCATGGAGTAGAGTAGAGAGATGGAGTAGAGCACCTCTGCATACCCAGATGGATGCGCCTCATGCCCGTCCATCGCGTTGACCGCTCTGCTACCCTAGCAGGCACTCCGCCGATAGGCACGTTACATCGGAGACATACACCTATCTGGAGCACGTACGGTAGTTGGATGTCAGCTCCGCCCGACGAGCTGTCTGCCTGTCAGAGTCTGTCCGTCCGTACGTCGGAGGCTCGGAGGCTCGCGTCGCGTGGCTCGAGATGCGATCGACACGTCTCTCGAAGCTTGTTGGTTGGCTTCCTTCGACCGTGAGCATCAGTGCTGGCATGGAGGCTCTGTCTGTCTGCCCGCCCGAGACAGACCGTCCGTGCTTCAGGTCTTCAGCCTCTGAGTTGTAGAGCCACTGCATGCTGCCACCCATCAGCACTCTGCTCGACGCACCTATTTGCTCTCTCCACGTGCCATAGCTGCCTGCTCGACTCTACTCCACCCATGCGGCTGCTGTTTCGAGCTAGCCGAGTGGTTGTGTAGGTGGATGGACCTCGCGTTCTTGACACTTGTCGGCCGCACCACTCGGCACGACTCGACTCCCTTTCTCGCTCCCTCACGCCCTCGCTCGCCCTCACCTCTCCGAACCTCCCAGTGCTCACTGCTCGCCTCGCCTCGCCCGCGTCGCCCAATCTCACTTGGAAGACCGATCTGCACCCACCACCACCCGCCACCACCCGCGACCTCCGGCCAAACGTTTGCTTGACTTGCCCTGCTCGCCGCTCACGCTCGCCGCTCACGCTCGCCGCTCACGCTCGCCGCTCACGCTCGCCGCTCACGCTCGCCGCTCACGCTCGCCACTCACCGCTCACAGTGAGCACAGCACCGAACTCGATCGTCCCTCTCCTGCTCTCCTTCTTTCCTTTTTCCGCCCCCCTCCCCACCCCCGACCCCAAAAGCATAATTTGGCTACTTGCTCACCCAAGTCCCCACTCAACTCTGCTGGCTCACGTATCGCTCCTGTTGGCTGTGTCGCCTTGAATTTCCTTCAACCCCGTAGACTACTCCCTCCCTCGCACCCGCAACATCCCTCATCCATACCACCCCCCCAACAACACGCTCCCCAATAACCCTCCTCCCCTTGCTCTCAGACACATCAAACGGACGACGTGTGTGAATGATCCCCAAATCTTCAACCCAGCAGCCGCCGTTACATAGGATCCCACCCAGCTATCGCAATCGCATGCTCGCTCGCTGCTACTCTGCTACACTGCTACGCTGCCCCCCGGTCCCACGTTCCCCCCATCCATCCACCACCGCCTTGCCTGCCTGCCCTTTGCCTGCCATCGCTTTCTCTTGCGCCCTTTTACCGTTTCCGCGCCCCGGCCACACGAGCCCAGCCCAGCCCCTTCTTGCCCCTCCCACCCCATCGCATCACCCCCCAAATCCCCCATCCCACATCCCATCCATCCCATCTCCATCCGCATCCCCATCCCATCCCCCATCCCATCCAGATCAAATACTTCCACACACACACCCCCCACCCGTCGCCTGTCTCGCTTTGGCTGACCGACCGACTGCCTGCCTGCCTGCCTGCCTGCCTGCCACACTTGCAAACCGCCCCCCCTCCCTCCCCCCCTCCCCATCCCCCCCCCCCAATACACAGTCGTCTCGTCTGTCCCTGATCCGACGGGTGCCTACTCTGGGTATACCGCTCCGCACTGTGCTGCACTGCTGCACTGAACTGAACTGTACTCCGCTCGGCTCTGTACCGGCTGCCACTCGCTGCACTGCACTGCACTGCACTGGCTGGAAGCACAGGCAAAGTCCGAATCTTGAGTCTTGATCGTGAGGACCCACTCTGGTGGTTTGAATTAGCCACTGCCAGCTACATACTACATACATATCTGCATACGTTCATACATACATTCATCATACATACATACAATTTTACATACTGCTGCTCCACTCCACCCTACCACTCCATTCCACCCTACCACTCCGCTTCACTCCACCCTACCACTCGATTCATTCCACTGGCCACTGTTCTACTCTGCCATACCCACTCTACTACGTACCGAGACGGCTAGACAGACAGCTTAGTCCTCACCCTTTGTTGTTTCGTCGGCTGGACTAGGTCCGACGTAGTAGATCTAGCAGAGCGGAAGGACAGGAGAGTGCCAGACCGGTCCGGCAGTCTGGATAGGAGAGAGAGAGCGTGCGTGTCTGTCTGTCTGTCTGTCTCTGTCTCTGTCTGTGTCTGTGTCTGTGTCTATCTCTGTGTGTGTTTTTGTGTCCCAGGTCCAGCTGGAATCCGTCTGTCTATCTGTCTCTCTCTCTGTCCGTCCGTCCGCCTGTCCGTCGTCCGCCTGTTTGCTTGCTCGTTGGCCCGAGACGTACAAACCCTCCTCATCTCGTAGAGGGACCCGCTACCGAACTGCTTGCTACCGCATACCGGAGAAAAGTACCAGACCTATATCCACATCGCTCCTTGGTCTTAGTGGCAGCCCGCCTACATCCCAGTTCATGACGGACCTCACGTTGCAGCCCGGACTTTCCGCCAAACACAGAACCAGATCCAGACCCACCACCACCACTACTTCCTCCTCCTCCTCCTCCTCCTCCTCCTCCACCACCACCACTACCACCGACGTAACACCCCCCAAGGAAACCAATCCTCTCGCAGCGTCACACTGCTCCGACCCAAAAGCAAAAGTCGACCACGTTCTTCCCGCGTTTCCCACTTCTGTTGCCGCTACTGCTCCTCCTGTTTCCGTTCTTGCTTCTGCTGCTGCTGTTGCTGCCGCTTCCGTCTCTGGTGTCGTCGTCGTCACTTCTTCTTCTTTTTCTTCTTCTCCTTCTCCTTCTTCTTCTTCTCCTTCTCCTTCTTCTTCTTCTTCATCTTCTTCATCATCATCTTCTGCTGTCGCTACCAGTACCGCTACTACTGCTTGTTCGTCCGCATCTACATCTACATCTACGACTACTACTTCACCTACTGCACCCGCTTCATCTGCCGCGACCATCTCGACTACCATCGCTTTGACTTGTACTCCCACCGCCACCACCTCCACCACCGCCATCAGTAGTACATCCGACTGCTCCCACACCTCCCAGGTTCAACAGCCACTGCCACTACCATTGCCTCTTCGACCTTCGCAACCTCACAGCCCTCATCCTCCTCCTCCTCCACAACCACTACAACGGCCACTATCATTGTCACGTCACTCTCAACCCCCTCCTCGCACAATCACATTTGAACCTCCTCGCATACCTCCTCCCGTAGTGCTATTGCCTCCTCCGCCGACCTACCGCCAGTCGCCACGTTGTACTAGTACAGGTCCCGGCTCAAGTTCAGGCCCTTCTTCCTTTTCTGCTGATCGTCTGTCCTCACTCGCTTCCTTCGTTTCCGAGAAGACGCACCACTACGCCCGTCGCGCCTCCGTCACTCTTTCCGCCTCAACGGTCGCTGCCGCCTTTTCGACGAACTCCTCCTCCTCCTCGGCGTTCGATCGACATCACCACCGTAACAGTAGCTTGGCCTCGTCGCCGACACCCCACCACAACCACCGTCATAACTCCTCCACCTCAACCTTCTACCCCAACACTTCGGACGAACGTATAGCGGTTTCGAAGGCGACACCACCCACCACTCCCACCTTCAGACCGACATCGTTCCTCTCGAAACGTGCACCGCCGCTCTCCGGATCCTCCTCTGCCACACTCGACACAATTTCTCTCCGAAAACAGAAGAAATCGACTTCGACCGAGAGTCTGCTCGACTCCGCGGGACGCAACGTCAAGACTCGTGGGAAGGAACCTACGCCTCCTCCCCCTCCGACCAACACCAAAAAATCCGCCGGCCTCTCCGGTCCGACCAGCAAGATGCATCAGACAAGCTCCCGGTTGCTCAGGATGACGGACGACGATAGGCCTTTCACTCGGGTACGTATTCCTTCCGCTATCGCTGATACTGTCGAGAGCACCGTGACTGCTCGAGAGTCGAATAGGGCGGTGGAGATTGTATGGTGGTCTTCGTGGTGGTGGTCAGAATAGCATTTTCCAATGTGCCAATGGATGGTGATCACGGCTTGCTGCGAGATTGTTGTTACTGTTGTGGTGAATCACGATGGCTGACGTTGGATACGTAGGACTTTAAAGATTTGTTCTCGACGTTGATCGTCAGTTTACCGCTATCGACGCATCGATTCCGCTTCAAGACGTACCCTTTCTCTTTTGCGTCGGAGGAAGCCATCAACAATCTGGGGTCCCTTAAATTCTCGCAGTCGAATCGTATGCCCGATCCGAAAGACCCGAGTCGGATCGTGACCACTACCACAACCACCACCTTCTCCATGGCGAAGGAGATGGCTAGGTCGGTGTGTCAGCGTTTCATGGATGCGCGCTTCATCGAACTGGCCGACGGAAAGACGATGCCCAATTTCCCGCTGAAGGGCTGCTTGTGGCAATTGACGCCGAAGGGGATCCACATCTTGGAGCGATTCTGCCAGAGGAATGGAATCCAGCAGGAGCACGTGCTGAGACTCCTCAATTCGCCGTTCAACACCATGCGGCTGGTCATCTTGGAGCGGGACCCGAAGACGGACAAACTCTCGCACGACAAGTTCACGACGGAGGTGATATTCCGTCGCTTCGCTGGGCAAACCCCAAACATCAAGGCCAACATCTCGATATCGGACAACGACTCGGTATCGGACTACCAAGACGGCCAGACCGGGGTCAAGTTGGCGGAGTCACGGAAAATCTACGACAAGGTGATCAAGATGTCCTTCACTGGCAAGTGCGCGGTGGACTGGTTGCTCGACTGTTGTACCACCGTGGAGCGTGCCGAGACGCACGAGATCTGCACGCTGTTTGTGCAATTCGGCTTGATTCAGTCGGTGTTGGATGACCGGGTGTACATCCAGCAGAATCCAACCGGGAAGGATTTCCAGCCCACCAAGAATGCTGTCTACATTGTCACCGACAAGGGGAAGCGGGTGGCCGGATGGATTGAAGCCGAGAGAGTCAGCCTGGGAGATCGCAATGGCGACGGTAATGCTAATGGTACTTCCGGCCGGGGAACGTCGGCTGTACGGAACCGCGAAGATAGAGGTATGCATCATGCGGTGGTGGTGGGCGGCGACGGCGGTGTAGTTGCCGTGCTTCTTCTTTCAAGGAATAAACTGACGTGACCGAGCGCGTATAGGTCACACGGACCAACGGGAGACGAATACCACACGTCTACAATCCATCTTGAGCGATCCTGCTCTGCGATTGCTCTACAGGGAGTTCCTTCGGGAGACGGTCTGCGAGGAAAACTTGACGTTCTATCTCGACGTGACGGAATTCAACAAGAACTTCAATGCGATCGACCTGTCGAAGCCTGATGCCGTTAGGGAGACATTGGCTGCTGCATACGGTGCGTTTTGTGCCGCCCATTCGTGATGGTGAAAAAAAAAACTGACTGATTGGATCGCAGGTCTTTACAATGCGTTCCTTGCCCCTGGCTCTCCTTGCGAATTGAACATCGACCATCCCCTCCGGCAGGATATGGCTTCGCGCATGACGCGTGCCGTTGCAAAAGACGATGCATCAATGTACACTTCCCTCAAGGAAGTTGCTGCACTGTTCGACCGCGCACAGCAGCAGGTATTCAAGTTGATGGCCGGAGTATGTACCCTCCTCCCCACTCTGTCGTGCCTTGATGGCTGACTTTTTCCTCTAGGATTCCGTACCCAAGTTCATTCGCACGCACAAGTACCTCGAGGTTGCCGGCGACATACTAGACGACGAGAGAATCGCGGCCGGAAACGGCCTTCACCGAAGTGCCAGCCGGAGTGCACGATACAACAACAACGGAGGAGACAGCCGATAGTACGAGGGAGATTTATCTGCGTTGCAGTGACATGCCTGTGGATCGATGGAGTGGCTGGTGATATAGATGAGCGAAGGTGTTTTTTCTGATTTTTTTTTCCTTTCATACTTTCCGTTTCTATTTCCTTTTCCATTTTCTTTGTCTGGGGGGTTTTCTTTCCATTTCTGTTCGAGGTTCATTGGGAAAAGATACTTGGTTACAATGGGCATGATTACTTTAGTTTGCTGTTTCTCTCTTCGGGGCCATAATGTGGGTACTTGAGTAGGTGAGTTGGGTTTGCTCGCTGAAGAGTGATGATGAACGCATGCATTTTCTTTCTTTCTTGTCTCTTTTTCTTCTGGCATGGGGAAGGTTTTGTTTTTTGTTTTTGTTTTTTTTCCTTTGAGTTTTTGCTTTCAGGTTTTCTTTCCCTGACATTATGGGTTTTGGTTCACATTTATGTTTTTCTCTTCTTTTTTTCTTTTCGCTTTTCCTCTTCGGGTGCATATACTTGTGTCTCCAGGATACTTCTTTTTTGACCTACCTAGAATGATGCGGGATGTGGGGAGGGTGAGGGAGGTTTTGTCTCGCTCTACATATCATCTAAAAAAACTCCTACTGTTCTAAGTTTGTTTGGTGTATTCGAGAATCAGGTCTTCTCGTGAGCCGAGGATGGGTTCGATGGTATGTACTCAGTACTACTATAGTATACCTAGTAGGTAGTCTTCATTCAGCCTCCGGGCGGGCGTGCATAGGATCTCACTCGCGTGGAGCCCTGAAGTTGCCACGCGTGACGTGGGTTTGTTACCCGGGAAACGAGCCAAGCCAACTTTAATCCGACCCAACCACCACCAGCACGACGCGACTCCTGCAGCCGACTGCAATCACAACCCCAATCGCAACCAACTCCACGACACGCACGACACGCACGACCCACGCACGACCCACTCAATTGTAACGGAACGACCAGCAGAATAGGAACAGGAACAGGAACAGGAACAGGGACAGGAACAGGGACAGGAACAGGGACAGGAACAGGCCCAGCAAGAACTCTGCCACCGCGCCCGCCCGCCGCCGCCCCCGCAACCTAACCTAACCATGACGTCCCCGCCGCCCGCCGATGCGCTCCTACTACTACGAGCGTCGGTCGCAGCTTCCGTGTCGCCAGTGCTCACACCGACCAGCAGCCTGGACACAGCGTCGGCGCTGACGTTTCCGGCGCTATTGCCGCTGTCGAGCGCGCCCACGACGATCCCGCTCAGCACGCTGACGCGCTTCATCAAGGACTCGTCGGCCGTCGACCTGCGCTCCATCTTCTTCGCGTGGCTGCAGCGCGAGACAACTATTACGGAGTATATCGCCTCCGCGCAGGCCATGGGTGTTACTCACCTCGGCTTCATTGAGCGCCTAGAGCTGGTTACTTATGTCGAGGGCGGCCAGGAGGAGAGTGATCATATTCTGCCGCTCGCGACGAGGGGTGCGGGTGCTGCTGGTGGTGCTGCTGGTGCAGAGGTGGGAAGGGGCGCAGGCGCAGACGGCGCGGAGAATAGGCCCGGTGACGGCAAGAGCGGCGGCGCCAGTGCGCTGCTGGGCAAGGTTAGGAATACGGACCCCAGGCTGCTGGAGATTTATGCCGGCGAGCGCGTCGTTACCAATAGGAATGTTATGTTGAGGGGGATTAAGCCGACGGTATGCATGTCCAAGGATGGCGAGCGGTGGATGGGTGGATGGATGCACGGACGGACGGACGGATGGCTGACGGCCCCGCAGGATTTCTCCCACGTACGGAAACAGGCTGAAGACTTCATCTCGCGCCTGCGAGCCGCCGGCGGTAACAACGCCAACGCCAACGCCACCACGAGCATCGGCAAGCCCAACCCGACGTCGTCGCTGCCGACGCGGCCGTCGGCGCCGTCCACCAGCAGCGGCGGCGGCGGCAGCGGGGGCAGCAGCAGCAACCGAAAGAAGCGACGGCAAGACCCGATCATCCTGCTGTCGCCGTCGGCCAGCTCGCTCTTGACGATGGCGAACATCAAGTCGTTCCTTGAGGACGGGGTCTTCATCCCTACGTCGGAGAGCACGAGCACGCCGAGCAACTTCCTTCGTGTGTCGCGGCTGCTCCCCTCGATCCACGCCAGCACGCCCATCCGCTTCGACGTGGTCGACTCCGCCGACAAGTTCAAGCCCGAGTACTGGGACAAGGTGGTCGCCGTCTTTACCACCGGCCAGGAGTGGCAGTTCCGCGCGTATAAGTGGGGGAATCCTGTAGACCTCTTCCGCGAGGTCCGCGGATTCTATGTCGGCTGGGAGGGCGAAATGGTCCCGGATACCGTCAGGAAGTGGGGCGGCGTCCAGGTTTTTCAGGTCGAGAGAGGCCGCCGCTTCAGGGATCGCGAAATGTGTGAGAAGTTTTGGGAGAATGTCGAGAGGTGGATGAAGGTTAAGGGGTGGGGGGGTAGGTAGTAGGTAGTCGTAGGTAGTCGGGGGGCGGGGGCGTTTCTTTTCCTTCTTCTTTTTCCTTTTCTCTATGGGATACTCTACTCTAGATCAAGTTGCCTGCGAAGTTTGCGAGTTTAGTTTGCGAATGGTTTTTTTTTTTTTTTTTGGTGTATCGAGTTGGCTACATACATCATACATAATGGATCAACGATCTTTGCTCTTCTCCATCTGCTCCATCTGCTCCATCTGCTCCATCTGCGACGCACAGCTATTCGGTCTTCGGTCTTCGGTCTTCGGTCTTCGGTCTTCGGTCTTCGGTCTTCGGTCTTAGATCTTGGGTGTGGCCCCAGTCCCCAGTCCCCAGTCCCCAGTCCCCAGTCCCCAGTCCCCACTCTGGACCGGATCTATGTACATACATACATACACACATACCCGGGGCACTTTTTCCTCTCTCTCTTTCGTTATACCATCCCACTCGCTCGCTCGCAGAGTCGCACGCCCGCCCGCCCACCCACGGCGGCTGTTTGTTCTTGTTTTTTGTTATTGTTTGTTTAATCAGTGATTTGCTTGCTTGCTTGCGACCTACCTACACACTCCGACACTCCGTTTCCTCGCCGCCACTGTCAGACCCGACCCGACTGACCCGACTTTCGTCAAGTGGCCCGTGCCCCGATGTGGCCCGATGTGGCCCGATGTGGCCAGATGGGGCTGCCCCCGCCGTGGCCGTGGCCGGTCCCAGCAAAGCAATGCATGAGCGCACCAAGGAAATGCGGTTGGCGTGGGGTTGGCGTTGGTTGGCGTGGGTTGGGTTGGGGTTGGGTTGGGTTGGGGTTGGGTTGGGCTGGGCTGGCTGCGTGCCGACTCCTCCTCCTCTGACGACGTGGATGTCTGGATGTTTGGACTCTTGATGCGGAGCAAGAAAGAAATAAAGCTGTCGCTCCGTCCCGTCCGGACGGAGGCTCAACTCCGCGGTTCGGGTTCAGGGTTGGTTACCCTTCCCTTATTCCCCCCGGGACTGGGACTGGGACTGGGACTGGGTGGGGACGGACTGGGACTGCGACGGACTGCGACGGACTTGGACGGACTTGGACGGACTTGGACGGACTGGGACGGACTGCGACGGACTGCGACGGACTGCGACGGACTGGACGGGGACATGGCCTGTCACTCACGCTTACACTCACACTCACACTTACACTCACACTCACACGCACACTCACATGAAACGCTCGGTCAGTGCCATCCTTAGAGTGGGCTACCAGCAACGGCATCAGCTTTGACCACGGGAAAACGGAAGCGATCCTCTTCACCAGACAGCGGGACCCCCCTCAAGCGTCCATCCAGGTGAGGGAGTTGGAAATTCCCTTCAACAAGGAAGCAACACGCTGGCTGGGGATCTGGCTAGACTCCTAACTTACCCTGAAAGAACATCACTCCATCCGCTTAAACAAGGGAAGGAATGCTATGAACCGGCTGCGACGGCTCGCGGGGCAGATGGGTCTATCGCCAGCAAACTGTCGCAAAGTCATGACAGCCTGCGTGCAGTCAGTGGCGATGTACGGGTCCGAACTCTGGTGGCAGGGCGATGGCATAGGAGCTAGGGGCACGATGGGAAGAGGGTATGACTTGCAGAAACTCATCAATGAAGAAGCCAGGGCGGTCACGGGCAGCTTCAGGACCACGAACCAGGGTACGCTCGTTCTGGAGTGAGGACTGCGACCCGTAGAGGTGCAACTCAACAATAGAGATAGACGATTCGCCCTCAGGCTCATCAGCCTCCCAAAGGGAAACCAGGCCAGACAATTGGTAGGAGCAGACAGTGAGCTCGGACAACGACTGATCATGTTCCTGGACAACCGGAAACGGATGGAAGAGACAGTACTCCTGGAAGAAGCTCAAGCACTCGATTGCACGGTCACTATGGACGAGGCAGTCACAGCGAAGGCGCATGCATTAGGACCGCAACCCCCAGGGCTCTCTATGTATACAGACGGATGTCGGACAGACTCCAAAGCTGCCGGCTTCGCTGTCGTCTGGCGCTCCGGCGACGGGTGGAAGGGACACAAAGTCCACATGGGATTCGAACAGGAGGCGTACAACGCGGAATGTGCAGCGATCGCCCGGGCACTGAAGACAGCTGCTGGTAGACTCCACACCTTAGAAAGAATCACCATCTACACGGACGCGCAAGCAGCTATCAGAAGGATGACTCACGACAACCCTGGCCCCAGCCAGAAGTACGCAATCGAGGCAAGGAAGCATCACGCCACCATCCGTCGACGAGAGCCAGGAATCACCATCGAAATCAGGTGGTGCCCAGCATACAAAGATGTTCCCGGGGACGAGAAGGCGGACGAATGGGCTAAGCTGGCAGCTGACCACCCGACCGCTCGCGGAGTGGAGGTCACTCGCCACAAGTACCGCTATGGCGCCAGTCAGCCACCACCTGCATCACTGGCATTCCTGCGACGGGGCATCATAGAAAGGAAGTGGAAGGAAGCCAAGGCATGGACAGACAGCAAGGTCTCTCACAAAAAGTACCGGTACAGCCGGAAATCCGGCCAAAAACCCGACCCAATCCCAGCGACAGCCCCCAAGCGTCTCGCCTCGAGGTTCTACCAACTGAAGACAGGGCACTGCCTCACCGGCCAGTACCTCTATTGGACGACGAACCGCCCCAATGCCCGCTGTGGCTGGTGCCGGTACAAAACTCAGACTCGGGAGCACCTTTTCAAAAACTGTCTCGAATGGAAAAGTCAGCAAAAGATACTCTGGGCAGAAGTCAAGAAGCAGAAAAGGAGGGGCAAAGACCGCTTCAAGATCCGGGACCTCTTTGCAGACGAGCGGTGCAGCGAAGCCATCCTTGACTTTCTCTCCTCCACAGCTGTGGGCAGGCGGATCCCAGAGGACGATGCGGAAGATGCAGCAAGTGAGGTGTCGGAATGGGAGCTGAGGGAGCGGGGAGAGCGAGCGGAGCTGAGGTGACTCGAGGAGGAGCAGGAGGAGGAGGAGGAAGGCACGGAAGTTGGGGAGCCTGGCGACGTAGATTAGCGGACTATACAGGTGCGGCGGAGGTGGGAAGACTCACGAGCGGGGGTGAGAGCGGGCAAAGGGTCGGGAGCGGAGGCGCGGGGGTGCGGGCGGGCAGAAGCGCGGGCGGGGGGTCGAGTGCGGACGTGGGTCGAGTGCGGGTACGGTGGCGAGTGTGGACGAGGGATGAGTGCGGGGGCGGGGGCGAGTGCGCACGGTGGAGATAAACTTCGGGAAAGACCAGGGCGGAGGGCAGGGAAAACTACATCGGGCCGCTCGGTGCAAGCTGGGTTGGACAGTGGCGTGGAAACGGGGGGGTGAACGGGGCGATATTTCCATGATCCAGATAGGTCGCATGCAATCAATGATTACACAAAAAAAACGCTCGGTCAGTGCAGTGCAGTGCAGTGCAGTGTTACGGGTTGGTCTGGTCTGGTCGGGCTGAGGATCGGATTCACTCGGGTCGGGTCCCGCTGCTGGCCGGTTGAGTAGAGTAGAGTAGAGTACTATAGAGTACCGTACATATGTGTGTAGGTATGTACCTATAGTAATGTAGCGGCTGCGTGCGATCCGGCTGTGGCGCGGGTTCCTCGAATATGTACAATACATCTCGAATATGTAGCGTACCTAGTACAACACACATCATTGCGTAGGTACATAGGTAGATACATATAGCCGGTAACTATGGGCCTAGTTATGGCTGGCTGGCTGGCTGGCTCGGCAGCTACGTACGTGAGACATCGAGTTCGGTGTACGTAGCGAAGGGGAGCTCCACAACGGGCGTCATTTGAATTTTGCTCCTACTGCTGGTGTACAGCGGTAGGCAGGACAAGGGAATGTGCAGTGTTGCATTATATTCGAGTCGCAGGAATGCGTGACTGCCCAGACTCCTCTCGCAGCCTCTCTTCCCGCGGCGCTCCCCGGGTTCTCACTCTGATCTGACACTTTATCTGCTGCATCTTCTTCAGTGATCTTTCTTCGTATGTACGGATCAGGGGGACGGATGGACGGACGGGCTGTGACGTGGGGCTTGCCGCTTGCTATAGCTATTATCAGCGCTTCTTTTTGCTTCAGCATTTCGTATGTATTCGGCCTTTTCCGATCATGACGGTGGATTAGGTAGGTACATACTAGGTACATCCTACTTCTATCTGCTAGGTAAGGCCGGATGAATGGTGAGGCTGGCCAATCATCAATGACAAAGATGGAGTGAGTGTCATCGTACGAAACGAACGAGTGTATGTTTGTGATGCTATGTGATGCTAACTAACTGTGTAAACACACCAATGGGATCTCTTGGACCACGTGGGAACAAAACATTCGCAAACAGTCATATCAGAAAGATCAAACAAGAAAGCAAGAAAACGTGAAAACAAGAAAACCGCGCACATCGCCCACATTTCCTCCCTCTTAGGATCAAATCAATCACGAATCTACGCACCCATCGCCACAAACTTCTCTTCAAATCCCTGCCTGACCAGTCGAAACGCTCGCAAAACGTCCTTGAGTCCCTTGGTATCCTTTCCCGTCCACGCCTCTCCGTCAATTTTCTCACTGCTCCCACGCTCCTTCCCCAGGGCCTCTCCCTCCTAAAGTCGCACAATCATCGGTATGCTCTGCGAGATCAAGTTTCAGCCCACCGTTCGATAAGAGCTCCGTGGTGCATCTTGCGATCCGGTTTAAGAAATGATTCAGTCTCCCCATGACCTTCCTTGCCCCAGTGGTCTCACCTACAAGCGACGTGTCCCACCGGCGTGCTGAGAGAGAGAGAGGTAGTTGAGAAGTGCGGTGTGCAGAAGAAATACCGATGCAAACTCAGCGTCTGCTCCAGCGAGTTTCTTCTTGCTTTCGGAGCTGAGGAGACGGACGAGGGTAAAGACGGTAAGACGCTCCCGAGCGGATGTTGTTCCGTGTACTGCTGGTAGTTCGAAATGCAATTTTGGGCGCGGGGGCGTAGTGATTGCTTCGTGAGCGGTAGGCAATGATCCGACACTGCAGTCGAGAATGTAGTCAAAGATCTTTCAGAGTCAGCGTCAGGTATGGCATGAGTTTCCGTAGAGGGTCCAGTACCTTGCTGTTCACAAACTGAACTCGGCTGATGAGCGCAATGTTGTAGCCCATGCCCATGAAACTGCTTATCATGACTATCATCCGGTGCTTAATCGCCATGCTGGCATGCCCATTGTCTTCGCTCTCTTCATCGCCGTCATCGTCGTCATCGTCGTCATCCTCGGAAGCGCCCACTTCATCCTCCTCGTCCTCGGAGTCGTCGGAGTCATCGTTTTCGCTGGTAACACTCTCCCAAGCCGCTCCGACTAGACCGCTCCCGTCGCCAGCCAACACAAACAACGGTCTCCTCTCCTCGATCCAGCCCAGAAACGTCCGTTCAGAAATCCCTGTGAACTGTCTAATCTGCCACTCTCCTCCCTTCACTCCCAGCAGATGCCGTATCACGATCTCCCTTGTGCAGAGCCACTTCGCCGCGCCCCTGCTGCCCGTTGGAGGAATGCACATTTCCGCATCAGAGTCCAGAAACACAATGTCAAACACACATTTTCGGCGGACTAAACCTTGCAGGAACTGCTCCACAACGTAGACGGTGTGAAGTAGCTGAAAGCTGCCGTCCGAGAATCCGATACGCTCGTCTGAGAAACAATGGCGGAGGAGGGAGTCCCCGTAGATCAGGAAGCGTGAGGAGCCGGCGTAGTCGCCAACGAGGTCTAGGCGGAAGGGGCGGAGCTGGGAGTACCAGGCTCGCATTTTGGAAACGGGCATGGATGGTGCGCTCTGATTGTTTGGATGAAGGAAACTATCGAGTGGAATTGGTGATGATATGGAGGGGGAATGCTCAGCAGAAGCGTGGATTATGTCGAACGTTCGAGAGAGCGGCTTCACAAGCAATCAACAAACAGTGAATCCACACTAACTAGATTTGGTATGATAGAACCTCGCTTATGACACTCGATTAATACTTAGCTACATCCTGATCTTTGGTTCATCAAGAGCCGTGATCGACGTCATATTGAAGCACTCAAACGGCACCTCTTATATAGCCTTAAACTCCCAGTCTGCTGTAAGAACGGCGATTGCGCACGGTTAATTTTGTTTACTGGACGGTTCCGGGGATGGCACCTAAAGGTCCAACTGGATTACTCTTCGGCTTTGAGGAAGTCGTACATATCATACTTCAGGATCCATTTTGCTCATTAAGTGGCCGCACAGTACTGCTCACAGAGCCAGCCACAGCCACATATCTACTGTTGCCCGACTATATTCCACAAATGTATCGAAGGCCATGGACGAGATAATATTTAAAGGTTCCCTACTTCTCGTCGGTTCACGAGAAAACACCAAAGTTGAAGGAGTAAGATGGGTTGGTTGACGTTTATGTAGCCGCGATACTCTAAATCACTACAGGACTCCTATGTAGCAACCTATTTCTTCGGGGCAGAAGATCCAAACAAGGCGCCCAGCATCCTAGTCACCGTGTAAGCACCTATGCATAGGAGGGGAGGGAGGGGTCTAATACTGTTCTGGATATCTGGCGCCGAAAGTTTCCAGGGAGTCTACCGCCTTTCGGATCTCTGCATTCTCCTCAGGCGTTAGGACGACCTTCAGCCCTCCGAGATTCTCCTCCAGATTCTCAATCCTTGTAGTTCTACCGCCGCATCAGTCAGCATCAACTTCACCACTACACTATTGGAGCCAACCTCACCCGAAGATTGGGATAAAGTCCTTGCCCTGAGCCGATACCCAAGCCAGAGTCAATTGTCCCGGTGTACACCCCTTTTTCTTCGCGATCTTCTCGATATCCTCGACGATCTTGAAATTCTTGGGGAAGTTCTCAGCGTTGTACCGAGGAACGTCACGGCGGAAGTCGCCCTCGGGGAAATCATCAGCGCTGCGGTATTTCCCGGTTAGTAGCCCACGGCCCAGAGGCGAGTAGGCAATGATAGTGACTCCCAGCTCCCGCGCGGCCTCCAGAACACCGATGTCCGGCCGCTCGATGTCCGTGAAGAAAGGGGAGTACTCGATCTGGTAGGCAGCGATGGGGGCAACGGCGCAGGCCCGGCGGAGGGTTTCAGCGCTGCACTCGGAGAGTCCCAAGTACTTGATTTTGCCCTCGGCTTTGAGCTCGAGCATCGCGTTGACGGTCTCCTCGATGGGTATTTCGGGGTCGGCACTATCATTGATCGTCAGCCCGCAACCACGACTAAGATGTCAGAGAAAACAGGCGCATACCGATGGGCGTAGTAAAGATCGATGCAGTCCGTCTGCAGTTTCTTGAGACTCCTGTCGCACGCCGCCTTGACATACTCCCTATCGCCGCGGAGGAACCTTCCCTCCTGAAAGCGGTTGATCTGTTGTTCCACGATCAGCTACCATTCAACTCCGCTGAGCCCGGAACAGAACCTACGCCAAACTTGCTCGCAAGGAAGATATCAGAACGCTTCCCAGTACGTGTGAACCACTTTCCGATCAGCTCCTCGTTGTCCATATACATATCGGCCGAGTCCCAAAAGGTCAGGCCGAGCTCGTGGGCACGGTCCAGGAATGCGAAACGCTCCTCGTCCGGCTTGATAGGGCCGTAGAAGGCGGAGAGACCCTACAGCGGAGTACGTGTCAGCGGGTTGGTAAACGCCTGTTGATGAGCTTCGAGTCCATACCATGCAGCCGAGACCGAAGGCAGTGACTTCAGGACCATCGCGGCCGAGGGTGCGTTTCGGGAGAGAAGTCATTTCAAGATGTTGGAGTGTAGGTATCCGGGTGTAGGTATCCGAGTGCAAGTATCCGAGTGTAGGTATCCGAATTGTGTTGGTGTAGGGATGGTGATGGATGCTGGAAGAGGAGCCGACTCTATATAGTGTTTAACAAGGCCCAAGAGACGTCATAAGGAGCTGAAAATCGTGGTTAGTTACCCCGCCAAAGAGTACATATTAACTCCGAACTCTAACGTCCGGTTGACATGGCATGGCACCTCGGCCGTATACAAACTCCGTGCGCAGCTATATACGAAATCGCCCCCCGACGTCTCTAACCGAGTAAGATCGACTCTAGGGTCTTCCTGGCTCCCGTCTATGTAAGAATTGTCTTCACAGGACCATACATAAGATACCTCGTGCGAACAGATATTGGTAGTTATTTGCATGTGGCGGCGAAGTAGCTGCAGAGTCGTTTTGCAGGCCTAAACTTCACCCCGCCATCGGCGGAAAGCATTCACGCCTCATTGATGTGTGTACGCCAGGGGCGGACACAAGAAATGAGGACGATGAAAAGATTGTCCTTCCAACTACCGATTGACTCCGGAGTTCCATGAAATGGACACACCCCTGGCTAGTTAGCCTAACCCAAACGCATCCCACGTTCTCCTCCTTCAGACGTCATCTCTCCCCTAGCCCACTATCTAATCTTGTATCTAGTCTTCTTAATCTTATCTTGTTGCATCATCTCATCGGATCTTTCCATCTTATCATTCCACTTGGGATGGCAGACAACATTAACACCCCACGATCAACATCAATATGGGCTGTATATAGCAAAGCTTCGATAGGATTTGCGGGACCTTTAAACCTAAAGAGAACCGCAAATACCAGGGTCCCATAAGCCTTATCCTGGTGACCATCTATGCACGTCCTCCTGCGCAACATCACCAAAAGAACCAGACTCGGTTTATCACATTATGAATCTGACAGGACTCATTAGGTCCGCACACTAACTCCGAGCATGCACAGTAGTAACTGCCGGTCTTCGAAAATGTTCCATCTCATAATATGACATCGGCAAAGAACATACGGATTCTGAAGGACAACATCTCCGAAAATTCACTCATAGTTTTCACCGGGCCCCTAGCACCACTGTGTTGATCAAGTCCACTACCTATTACAGCCTTCGGCGGCCCGGCGTTTACCTCCCGCAATCGCTGCGCGTTTCGCATCTGGGATCTCCGTGACGCGGGTACTATATTCTCTCCTCCGGAAAACAGACAATCTAGAAAACAACATCGCTGCTGAAAAGTTGCGGTCGCCTACCGGCCGGATGGAACAGCTCTCGACCGTCACATTTCGTTGGACCCTCCTTCGCGCCTACATACGCTGATAACGTCGCCCCCACTTCGATCAAATCGGACCCCCGTCACTTCCTACGACAAGGGAGCCCGGGATAATACGATCTATGTAGGGCTATCAAACCTTGCGAGATGGCTGGAAGATCATTCCGGACAGCGTTACAACCTTTGAAAAAGATTGGCGAATAATCGGGCGAAAAATCCTGACCGAGCGTTCACTACTGTATAGTGAAGGGGGGGGGGTAAAAAAAGCGTATTTTTTACCCCCCCTTCACTATACAGTACGTTCGAGGTATTGTAATTTTCCACTCGCCTGGCGCCGCAGGGGAGTCGTCGGCTGTTAAGAGGTCCTATGCGGGTGAGCTCATCATGAGCTTGAAAAACTTTGGCAGCGGCAATTGGATTCAAAGTTAGCCATAATGAGATTCAGATGGTTTCCTTTGTACGGAATCAGACAAGCTGTAAATGCGTGAGCATGAGACTCAATGATGCAATTTACTAACTGAAGTTACTGGACAGACGGGGTTTCCTCCGCCAAACTCCTGTTCCTGGGCAACCGCTCCGCTCCCGGCCAAACAGCCGCATCATGCTACACGAACGAGCAAGCCTTGATGTTGAACTCTCGACAAGACAGTGTAGCTCAAGCCATGCGCCCCATTAGGCTATGTACGTCCCGCAGTTCAGATTCTAGGATTACCAAGCCATTTACTGAGGGTTCTGTGAGTTTGTCAGCCCGCATAGTATGTCACTCGATACGAGTGATATCGAATGATAGAGTTGAAAGTCGGTCGCAGCTATATCATCACTCGACAGGTGGGGGACATCGGGCTATGCAATAATCCCGAATACGAGGCGAAGAACATGAGAGCTAGGGCAAGAATGGGGATACAGGACGATCGATGAAATTGATCGGAGGACAGATAATGGCACGGGTGGTGGGGATGAGGAACTGGATTCCTTGGTTGAGCTTACAGGAGGTTGGATGGGACGAGAACTGGATTGACGTTTAATACCTTCATTCACTCTTTATGTCTTTCTTTCTTTCCTTCTTTCTGTTTTTCTTGCAGGTGTTGCGGGGAGTTGGAGTCGAGCGGGGAGGGTTAAGCGGTGAGCGGGGAGATTTGACTCAAGGGGAGGAGCTGGGCGGAGAGCAATAGGAACCGATATCGAGCTCGCGGCCAGCGGTCGGTGACAGCCGGGTGGATGGCCTAGACCACTAGGCCACGCGGGGTTTTTTTCGTACTGTAAAAAAGACGACGTCCGTTATAAACCTCAAGTTGTCACCACAATATGAGACTAGCCGGCTTCACTTATAGAAAATGAAAACGATATTACAAGATCACGCAGTCAGCTAAATGCGACTCCGAAAGAAGAAAGCGCATGACCCCTCCCCCAATGAATACGGAAGCTATCTTGCCACAAAACCAACGAATGAACGAGACGACGTGGAGGAAGAACGAGAGGAGAAGGGTGCAGGTGTAGAATATAAGCTAGAGCCTGGAGGCTACACAGAGATGTTCGGGAATTGTATCAATCGTCGTGCAGAAAGGGAAATGAAGGTGAAGAATGAAAAGCCGGCTTAAACCGCAAGTTCCAAAGCCAAAAGGACTCAAACAGGGCTACAAACACGAGAAAGATGGCAGCCTGCCCAGCCCTTCCCCCCGTCACCCATAAAGCTATGCATCCTGAGCAAACACTAAACTAGACGTATAGCTACTCTCTTGCTTTGCCCACTCCTCTACCCACTCCAAAAACTCTTGATAATATATCGTCATTCCCTTCTTCGCCCAGGCCACAAGGAACAGTACAGCCTTTGTGCGCACCTTATCGAGCTCAAATTCTTCACAACAATTCTTCTTGGACCACTTGGCGAATTTCGCAACGAGATCCTCCGGGTGGATGAACGAGGCGATGAGCACTGCAAGCACGAGCTTGATATCGAACAATTTGCCTTCCTTCCATGCCTTGGGGGTCCGCCAAGTTTTGTATTGGGACCACACTTCGTGTCCCGGCATGTCGATGATGCATATGATCTCATATTCCTCTTCGGGAGCGATACCACGCAGATTTATCCCCCACAGGTAATCTTCGAGGTCCCAAATCTTCGCCACCGAGGTTGGCTTACCAACCTTGAACCCAGGAACCCGATTTGAGCGCCGCAAATTGCCTGATAAGAAATTGAGCGCGTTTCCGGAGATGAGGGAGGAGCGGTGGGTCCTTGCGCTTGACGACATCCCATTCACCGCGGATCTTCCGATCGATCCACACGCCGAGCGTCGAGCCGTTGTAGCCGCCAGCTTCCACAGTACGCAGGAACTGCTCAAGCTCGAGCTTCGAATTTGAGTTTTGAGTGAAGAGATAATCTTGAATTAGGTAATAGACGTGCCTTGCAACAGTATACCAGCCGTACTCTGAGTCCGAGTCTCTGGTCATACGGCATTCCACCAAGTGAGTGTTGTGAATGAGTCGGATAAATTTGTCGGTCTTCTGCTTGAGGTACCCCGGAACCAGAGGTGTGTTGCCAATACCGCGGGCGACCTGTGATGTTAGATAAAACTTGGGAATGAGATGATGGGAGACGGCATACGAGTTCAGTACGGTCGCCAGGCTCAGGATCTGGTACCAGCCAGAAATCCCAATAATGTGAAATAGCAATCTTTTCGATGTCGCGCGGTAGAAGGAAACCCAACATGCGCAAATGTTCTTCCTTGTCTTCTTTTGTCGCCCCCGGAGTCTCCCATATCTTCAAAATAGCTTCCTCGTCTAGTATCTCCATTGCCCGAAGTTCCTTCTCTTCCGTCGCCGACTCTGGAGATTCGTCAAACATGAACTCGTAAGTGTACCGTCCTCCGGTCGAGGCCCAGTCCATCAACCACTTCGCAATCTGCTGGTTCTCCAACTCGTAAAACCCAGACTCCCCGTCCAATCAATCCGCAATCGCCTTCAACAAATGGATTGTATCACACTTCATCTTATCGATATTAAGCTCCCTAGACCGCCCCCCAGAATTCATCCCTAGATCATAGGGATCAATAAACGTAGTGAGCAAACAAGCCGGCAAGAGAAACACATCGATCGCCGCCTCACTCAGGCGCCGACACCCCCATTTCTGCAATTCCACGAATGGATCTTTTAGCCAGACGGGACTAAACCGCATCATCTCGCCAGACCTTTGCGGAATCATCTGCAACCTCTTCTGAAATGCCCATATACTCGCCAAGCCCTCCCTATTTTCGGCGCGATCTTCTTCTTCCGGGCAAACTTCCAGACCTCATCCTCAGTCTTGAGCTCTCCCACGGGCGTTAACGGCGGATCCCCGTTACACAGAGACCACTCGCCCCGCCCCTTGCGGTTAATCCATGCCGCCATGTCCTCGCCGGCGCGACCACTGGTCGCTTGGTTCAACACCACTTCCAGCCCTCCTCGTTCCCGCCGCGCCCATGTAGGGTTTTGACGTGATCGAAACAAGTTTTCCAAGCTTGGTATCTCTTGGGGTTGGGGTTTTCTCCGGTGGGCGCGTATTTTCGCAAATGTCTGGTCTCGCAGCGCTTGAGGAACGCGGTGACTCGGGAACCCAGGTCGGGCGCAGGAGAAGCATCGACACGGGACGTTGGCTGCAGTTGGTTTGGGCGCAGCTTTAACCGTGACGCCAGGCCTAATCGGTAGATGAAAGGGCCGACTTTGGCTCGTGGATGTAGAGCTACGGCCTCTTCGATGGAAGAAGTCATGTTTGGCTGCATGGCGGCGGGGTTGGAGGCTTGCTTGGCTGCAGCGATTGGTCCAGTCAACGAGCTTCGGTTCTGGTTTTGCTCTGGGGGTTTTTGAGCGCACCGAAGTGGCGGCGCGTCCGTCATTACGCGTATGTATGATGGTTGTCGTGGTTTGGAGGAACGCGACAGCTCCCCGTGGATTCTGTTTTGGTCCTCATGTTGGCGCGCATAGACCTACATACGTGGGAGTGAGGGGCTGCATCACCAAATAGCGCTGAGCTGTTGGTTGGTTGGTCGGTTGACGTCAGACGCATGATAGGTACTCGTAGACGGTGGTCATGGTTACACTGTGCCATGAATCCGCCCGTTGCCGTATCCATACCTACGGGATACCCATCGACGGACATTTCTCTACCTTGAGGAATTTGGGATGCTCGCTTTGGTCCGCTCCCCCATCGGCCGCAGGTTGCTGAGCAAGAGTTGCCAGAGAGTTGATGGCTATGGACCTGGTACTTATGAACTTATGTCCAGTCCCAGATCTAGATAGGCCTCTTCGTGCAACAATATCCACAACAAAACCCCAGCAGCGCACTTGCCACTGAGAAGGTTCCAGGCGCTTGAATCTTGCCTGCTGGGGATAGATGGAATCGCTAAAGCAGCGTTTTCTGTTAGCGTCGCACGCGGGTAAAAAATATTCGCTACCAAGGCGCCGGAAGCTTATTCTCCCCACAGCCTGAATCTCAACATCAACGTTGTCCCAACCCTGGGCGGCATGCTCTTTCTTGCTCAGAATTCTTTGCAGCGGGTTTCTCTAAGGAATTCTGACGCGGAGAGAGTGAACCGGCGATGTCACAGTTCGGCTGTCAATCCTCGATAGAGACACATCATACCAGAAACTCCAAATACATGTGAATCATAACTAAAAACACCCCTCACGATTGGTGAAAGTTGGGGAAATGCCCCTTTGTCCATAACATCATCGCCGACGAGAAAGAATCACACGGTAGTTAATAAGTAGCAAGTACGGTATTAATTCAGCTCAAGACTCAACTAGAGATGATGCAACGAAAATATTTCCCATGATGGATACTACCGAGTGATAGCCAGTGTACACACGACACAAAGCTCTGCGCTGCGTTCTCTAGCATCCGTCCAACTGGGAGAGTGATTAGGCAGGCAGGAATTGTAGTAAAAGTTGTCAGTCACCATCCATGGCCCACCAAGATTGGATGCAGTGGCTGTGCACCAGGGAAGACCAAAGTCCGCCGGGCGCTCAGTGATACTCATACATACATCTATTTTAGCAAGCAAAAGAAAAGAAAAATCTATGTATACAGCGCCCACCTACGACGGCGTTAGGCGGTGAGCACTCTCAATATTAATCGAGTACTCGAAAGCGCTTCTCGCGCCCTCCGCTCCCACAAAGACCATTCCCTCCTCACCGCCCATATCCAGCCAGCTGCCCTGCGCCTTCTCGCTCTCGACGGTGACCGTAACCTCCTGCCTGATGACGCCGCCCTCGAGCTCCCTCTCCACACCCACAATCCTCTCCATGCTGTCGCTTTCCCACGCTTGATCGCCGCCCGATTTCATTTTGGAGGCGGACATCTTCGCGGTGCGCGTGCTCTGCGTCCGCAGCTCGACGTCGTTGGTGGATGTGGCGCCGTGGTTGCCGTACCGCGACATGCTCCGCGCCGCGGAGGAGACGGAGCTGGCGAAGCCGGGGATCACCCGCCGGATCAAGGGCCAGACCAGTGGGATGTTCGAGACGTACAGGGCTGTCGACGCTTCGCGGATATACCATTTCATGTACTCGGTGTTGTAGACATCCGACAGATTGAAGACCTAGGTAGTTATACCTTCTCGTCAGTAACCGTGGCGGGGAAAATGATTGAGGACGGTACCTTGGTGAGGATTGCGGCAATGATCACGAATACTCCCATAAGGAACACGGTACACACGGCGATCTTTTGCCTTAATGGTAGTTTACTTGCAATGAGTAGTGGCAGGGGAATGAACATCATCATGATATCACTGCTGATGTTGAAGACGGCATTGACGGTGGCGTAATGCACGAACGTGGTGCATTCCGCTATATCCGCTGTTAGTTGCGAGGGACGATGATGATGGGGTTGGGACTCGGATAAAGCTTACGATCTGGAGGTGGAACCGCCCAGTACCCCGTAAACGGCCGACACGCAAAGAAGAATGTCAGCTCGCATGCTACAAATCCCATAGCAACATAGCAGGCGACACCCTGGACTACGCGCTTCGCATGGAGTCCCGAGCTATAACCGTCAGTGAATGTACTTTCATGGCTTCCCTTCAGGACGGGGATACATACGTCAACCGCGAGTAAAATATCAGGAGCGAGACTTTGATGCCCCAAATGGTCAACAACATCGCCTGCTCCGATACGAGAACCAGCTTGCTGCCCTCAATACGCTCCGAGATGTTCTCGGGGGTGAAGGTCTTGAGGTCTTCGGGCGGGAATAGATTGCTGCCGCCGCTGACGGCAACGAGGTTCATGAGGGTTATCAGAACCGTGTAAGAGATCTTCAGCAGCTCCTCTGTCAGCAGGCCCCTAGTTACCGCATCCCATCGATAGGTACCAACCATGGAAAAAGTCATGACATAGTCATCACTCTGAATCCCCATCCGCCAGCCATTGTAATATATCCGGGTGAACCTATTACCGCCACTTCAGTCAGAACGTCTTGCACATGGAAGCACACATAGCAGGGAAGGATACTCGCAGCCGTAGACAGAAGATAAGCACCGCAATGGTAAAGAGTGTCCACGACTCAATCCGAAGGCTATAGACGAAATCCGGATCCATCATTATTGGCGACCACCGGCCGGGCCGCACACGACTGGGTGATCGACGAGTACTTGTACTACTAGTAGGTATATGTACCTACCTAGCTTCTCCTTTAGGTTGTAATCTTTTCCCTGCACGAGAACATCTGGTAATCGAGCTTGCTTTTTGGGGAGGGGAAATTGATCACAGTCCAGAGTGCTTTGGTATCTGCGGGGGGTGCACCGCAGCGCAGGGAGCGGTGATGAGTGGGGTAATCAGCGTGCTGGATAGTGGGTGGCCACTAGTCCTTCAGTTGATGCCGTCCTAAGGGGTTATGAACTTCAGCTGAAGATATGCGGAAGGAAGGCGGGATCAAGATCGACTCATCGAGAAGGGAGTGTAAGGATACCATCCCCAGGGAGGCAGATCGCACTCCTGCTGAGTGCAGCGATCCAGGAAGGAAAGAAAAAAACCCGGTAACAACAATCCACGCCAGCAGGTAGTTAATAGCGCACTGGGCCAAGTCGTTTCCGCGGCTACAGTACCTTAAACTTTGAGCTACAATTGGTGAATTAGCGAAAACCGAAGCCAAGACGTCCGGGCTCAGCTCGGGGAAGAGCGAGTGCACGAACACAATCGTACCGACCGCCTGGACTCGCCGGAAACCTGAATATATCCTAGACAGAGAAGAAGCAACAGAAGTTCCCCCCCCAAAGAGCCAACAACAGAGATCCCCTCCCAACCGCCTTGGGTAAAAGATAAGCAGAATATTCAGTAGCAACCGCGAAAGCGAACGCCGATCAATTCTATGTATCCTGATGTTCCATCTGACGATCCTCCATCGGATCGGTCCCCGTATCTCGTGGAAGGGGGAGTGGGGAGAGGGCAGTGGACGGTACCGTAGGATACCTGATTCACATCCCAGGGGGTCGGATTCTCGCTCTTCTTTTACATATGGTGTCCCGAGACGAAAAGACGGCAGACGACGAAAAGCAGCACTTACCTTGTACCAAAAAGCAAATGGTCCTTAAATTTTTTTATCCAGGGCGGAAGGAACCCCAGGTAAATTCTGTCGGTAAAGGATCGTGGGGGATGAAATAGGTCATGAAAATGCAAATGGCGTGAGCGTGGGGTGTGTGTGGGGCGTGGGGGGAGGGGGGGTTGCGTTCAATCAGAACGCGGCAGCCGAGTAGAGTATCGCCGTTCATTCTTCCACTCTACTCTAGGTACTCCAGGTTTCAACGAGCGAAACATACAAGATCGAGCCCAGGTCCTACCTGGTAGACGTCCAAAAGCAATCCGGAAACTTAGATTTTTACTTTTGGCTACCATTTCCTTTGGAGGATTTTCTGCATTGTTAATCGGCTAGGATCGGGCTTCAGCGAGTTGCTGTAGGTACACATAAACTAGGTGCGGACTATCACTCAGCCTTCGGCCCATCGCCGCCGCCGCACTCTCTTCAACTCGGGTTGAACAAATCCCACATAAACGCAAGGGAGTCCTACATACTATAAAGCTACTTCGCTGAAGGTTATTCGCCCAGAGTGCCCAAAACGCTGGCCTCAAAGCCTCCACTTCACTATCTACGACATCCATTACCGTACTCTACATACGTCTGTGGATGACACGCGGCAAATTTTAGTTAGTCAGACGCGTTTATCTAGCATTTAGGATCGTCCCGTGTCGGGAGGCGGGTGTCGACATAGACATGCGCCTCCGGGTGCTCCCGGTAATCATTGGATATTGGATGAGATGAGATACCTAGGATATTGAGTGGTGACCGTAACTAGAGTAACCATGTAGAAAAAAAGGAAAGAAGTCCAACACTCGGTATGGATGAGAGAAGGCGAGTGACGTTCCCATGAAAAGGCCGGTCGGTCGGCCAGTGGGATCCATCCGTATTCACTCGTGGCCTGGCCTGGCGGGGATCTCCTCCGGGTTTTTGTGGTTTCATCATCCTCGAGCCAAGAAGTGCATATTTCCCCTTGCTGGTGGTATGCCTTACCTACTCTTCACGATGAAGCGGCCCATCCAAAACTTCGGGATTGGAGGCTGGCCTGGCATTTCAATCCGTGGGATAGTTACCTGTGTAAGATATCAGGCTAGGCGGTAAAGGAGGTTCAACGCCATACCCAAGTGCAGTAGCGCTCCTTTTCCTGCCTCACGGTGCCGTTCCCGCTGTTAACTACTGGAGTGGTCGCAACTGCATCCCTCCTTCCCCTCCCACACCCCCACAAACCACTCCAACCCCAACTGAAGACGGCAGTTGAAGTTTAGTCTCGATCAAAAGGGCACGTGGGGATCGCGGTTGGTGCTCCTGCAGACCAACGGACCAGAACACCGGCCTCAAAGTAGCCATCATCATTATTATGCGTGACTACTCAATCCCGCGCCGAAACCCCCTGTGCAACACACCTCTCAACCGCCTCCTCGATGGGCTCGTCGCCATTCACAAGATCCAGCCAAACCCCCGTGCCCCCAGTGCCGCGCTCCAACAACTCCACGCCGATGCGGGCCACATCCTCCCGCGTAACGCCACCGGGCAGTCTCGCACGCCCCAGATCGACCTTTCCAGTCGCGGGTTCATCCGTCAGCGCTCCGGGACGCAGACATATATCCTCCCAGCCACAGTCCTTCTTCTCGGCCTTCCTACTCTCGTCCCACAGGAACTCATCGGCCGCACACTTAGCAGCGCAGTAGGCGGGAATAGCGTTCCACGCGGCTTTATACGTCTTTGCACCTCGCATCAGCGACCACCCCCAACTTTCGCACCAACCTCAAGTTAAACCTACCTCCAGATCCAATTCATCCCACCACTCGGCCTTCTCCCGTCTCGCCACACTGGCGGAGACCATCAAAAACCTGCTGACGCCCGGGGCGCGGATCGCGGCAGCAATGAAGCGCTTCGCCGCATCCTCGTCGACGGCCTTAGTCCGCTCCTTTGCGCCCTTCCCGCCGGCGCCGGCAGACCACACGACCCATTGCACGCCGTCCATGCTACGATCGGCGGAGGCGTCGGTCGCATCCTCGATGCTGGACACGATCGGAACTGCGAGAGGGGAGATGGATGCGATCTCCGATACGTGTGAGGCGTCGCGGATCACGGAGTGCACTTTGTGACCCCGCGCAGTCAGCAGCCGCGTCATGTGCAGCGCTACCTTGCCGTGGCCGCCGAGGAGGAGGATGGTTGGCATATTGTTTTTTTTGGGAGATGAGTGGTTGGAACTTGGAGGTGAGAGGTATCGTATGTAGGCGTAGAGTATTCGATGCGGGGAAAATGGTGGAAGAGACGTTGAAGTTACATGGGTGGTGACGTCATTCGATGATCCCTTCATGAGAGGTCATTCGCAGCAAGGCGAAACATCGCCATCTATAATCCTCCCATTTCGACTGTAGAGGCAGTGAACGGTAGATTACCTTTAGTCAGTCGGTATTGTGTACCTTCTTCGGCGCGTTTAACTATGGCTTCGGCGCCCATGTAGAGGTGGGGAACGGGATTGTTGCATCGGGTCAATTATCACGGCAGCAGACACGATCAGGAAGTGTGTATATCGCCAGTCTAGATGGGCTACATGCGATCATCTGTTGCTTTAATATTGGAACGCATATCTAGACTCCTAACAGAGGTTGGGATGCGGATCACATTTGAAGTCTACGAGGTATAAGTCCCTTTTAGCACACGCAAGATCTGCCCGGTACACACTACCGCGAGATGAAGCTATATACACAAGCTCACCATCTCATCAGAGGCAAAGAAGAAGAAAAAAAGCAGATCACTGTAAATCCACCACCGCCTACCACTCCCTGGGGTGGGGGTATGGTTTCTGCTTCTGGGCAGCCAAGTATCCCTCACTCCACTGCTTCATTCTCTCTTTGCGTCCGACCTTGGCCTACAACAGAAGCACTCAGTTAGTGACATGGAACGGCCATTCGGGCTAGATACGTTGTGTATCATCGGAACATACCTTGGCCTTCTTCACCCTCACCTCACGCTCGTGCACGTATGCCACAACCGCGACGTAATCCTCATGGTTGAGCTCTTTGACGAGCCGCTTCTTCTCGGCGACGCTCGTTGCATTGATGATCTACCAAAGTGTTAGGAAGCGCTGCCGCCGTACTGCTCGCGCGGTTGCGGTGTATGTAGGTACATACCTTGAGGGCATGGGCGGGGATCTTGTCGGCGGGCTTGTCGGCGGGCTTGTCGGCGGGCTTGTCGGCGGGCTTGTCGGCGGGCTTGTCGGCGGGCTTGTCGGTGGGCTCGGCCGCGGGCATGTGCTGCACGATGTACTCGCGCAGGTATCCTATCACCTCGAGGTAGTCCTCGAATGGGATGTCACGCAGGAGCTGCGCCGTCTCATCCAGGGTCTCGGCAGCGATGATCTGCTAAAGTGTTAAGGAAGTTCCGCCACTGTATTGCTCGCGTGTTGTACATACCTCGAGGGCGGCCGCTCGGCGCTTGTCAGCTCTCTCGGCCACGGACACGGGCGTTTCTGACTTATCCCTCTTCTTGCCATTGATCTTGTTCTCGGTGGGATTGCCCTATCAGTGTCGTGTCAGTAATCTCGTCTCGAAGGGGTGAGACGGGATGCATACAGCGAGCTTGGTGTTGCGAGTGCGCTCGAAGGACTCGGGGACGGAGTCGGCGGCCATGGTTGCGGCGGTGTCGTTACGGGTATACACCATTTTGACGTAGGCGTGGGCGGATTTTGATGGAGGATGAGATGGAAGTTGAGGGAGAGTGTTGATGGTGGGAGAGAGAAGGAGAAAGAGATGAAGGTGGGAGAGAAACTGTGCTTCTATAGATTCCGGATTTGTAGCATTGAACTTCCAAGGCAACCAAAGCCCGCTTATGTATTCGGCTGCTCGTCCCCGTTGAATCATGCGCAGCTGGCTGGATCGAGTTCGCACTAGTTCCGTATGGTGGAGGACTGTTGTAGCTGTCGACGGTCGCCCTACCTAGAAAAGGAAAACGTTCTGACTGAACGAGGGAATGTCGCCACAGATTACAATTTGGGTTGGACTGCAGCAGGGCCGGTTGACATACGATGATGGGTTCGACGACAGATATGGGATGAAGAGGACCCAACCTTCATTCCCAGACTATCTCCTCTTGCAACCGATCCGGTCATTCGGACCGGTTTGAAATGCAGACGTCCGGGCATACCACCGCTCTCACCGATGAACTCTTCATCCCCTCCTCTCAATCACCAATGAGCTCGCCCTGAAGACTTTCCCGGTTTCCGCGTGCTGTGCGTCCCACCTGCGAAACACGTCTCGCATATAACATACATATTCGCGTTACCCTTTCCACCCCCCGGCGAGAATAAATGCTCTAATCGTCCGGGTTGTGGACGCTTCTTTGGTGTTGGTGCTGGTGCTGATGCTGGACCTGCGAGTGTTTCGGCGTGAATCTCCGTGCACTGGCGAGGGAAGGCGGCATCGTACGCATGACGAGCAGTAAGATTCCAGAAATAGTAACGATAAGGGCTAGAAACGCAATGGAACAAAGTACAATAGCTGGACGGTAGTGTTTCAACCTGTTCTTCGACTGCTCTGCAGGCCTCTGGTCACCCTCATGGGCTATCACTCACAAAATTACCACCGTGGAGCGGCGTTGATCACATAAACAAACAGCCCATGGTCACTTTCGCTGTTACTCCCCACGCCCTCCTTTCTATGGTATCTCCCGATAAGAGGTAGGGGACGAGGCGGTGAGAGGAGCGGACGTTTGTTTTCCTGGCTTTATTTCCTTGGTGCGAGTCGCGACTTCGGTGACAGGCGGAGGGCAGAGGAAGCCGCACGCTTTGTCTATTCCTCTCATCTCCCATCTCGGCCCCAAGGAAGCGAATGACTGCAAGTCTGCAACCAGGACCTACTGCCACATGTTCTTGGCATCTGGTCAGGCCGACGGTTGCTCTGAATCTCGCCGTCTTCGCCTCCTGCAGTGCGAGCCGAGTGGGGAGACGATCCCGGGATGCCACTGCCCAACGCTCATCCGGGGAGCAAACCGGACGGACCGACGGCCAGCGAGATGCCAACGCAAGGAACAACCGATCGATCGATCTTTTGATTGCAACTTCGCGTGCAACCTCCTCTGTGTATGCAAGAGCCGTAGGGAAGATGCCAGAGGTACTATACCTAATGCGGTCTCTGAAACGTTTAAACTGATTCATGGTTTGTTCTGCTTTCTAATTGTTTTCCTCGTCTGTCGTTCACCACCGCAGAGATACTTTGAGGTTCAGAGGTCTGAAGTACACAAGCCTTCTTTTCTTGTTGCAGATCTAATCGAATCAGTCTCATCAGTTGCCCGTACTCATCCAGAGTCTCTCATCTGGTGCACAAAACCCGGATAACCCCTTCGGACCGTCCCGTCTGGAACCGCCATTGCACATTATCAGCGTCAACTCAAAAGGACGGACACGGCGGAGAAGGACGTCAACGGAGAAGCACGTACACGGCAGAAAAGGGCGTGCACAGCGGAGAAGGGCTTACACGGCGGAGAAGAACATATCCGGCTGAAAAGGACGTCAACGGAGAAGGACGTACACGGCGGAGACGAAGGTCAACGGAGATGGACGTACCCGTCGGAAAAGGACGTAAACAGCGGAAAAGGAGCGTAAACGACGGAAACGAGCTTCGGAAGTTGCTACTCTGGCTCCGTGGAACCGGGAGGCTACGAACGACGCCTACAGGACCTTCAAGGCTACGAAGCCGCTCGCAGGCTCCTGATACAGAGCCATCGACATATATCAGTGGACGGAGAATCATCGCCCTTTGGGCAGTTGCCCGTACCCGTCGAGGGTCTCTCACTATCTGGCTGTCTGTCGGTGGCACACTGCCGCCCGATTTTAAAGTTCAGAGGTGAGACGGTTTCAACTTCCAGGCACCAGGTTAAAGGTTTCGCACTGGACTGGACCGCGGGGTGCTCAGTCTTCGGTACCAAAGTACTCATCATCTCTGGCACCCATCAGCACAGTGCATCCCAGCGTAGCCCAGGGTACCAGACACGACACGACACGACAAACGGGGCGGGGGGTAGGCGGGACGGGGGGCGGACGATTCCGCAACTCTCCGACTGCAGCCTACGCAGCAAAATAAACACGTTTTGACATCCCCACTCCCAACCACCCAACCGCCCAAGCCACGGAGTTCTTTCTTACGGGGTTCGACATCGGCCGGAATGAGACGCCTCGCCCCGAGGCTCGACGTGACGTGTCCAGCCACACCACACACCACACACCATTCGACCACGACGGACAGCGGGCGATGATTGGGTATGAGACTATACGACTATGATATGAGTGCAAGTGTGCAAGGCCATGGGCCATGGATTCGGTGCGTTGTGATGCGCAATATATTACCGTGTGCGCGCCCGACCTGCGCTGCGGGGGCATCCGTTGCTTCGGCGTGGCTCCCGGGGTCTGATGTCGCAGAGGAAACCGCAGAGGAATGAGAGGGAAGTTGAGCCATGGCGGTGAGCGGCGAGCGAGCGCTGAGGTTGTTACTCACTCACTCACTTACTCACCGATGCGATCCCATCCAAACGATAGAAAGTTCCGAGCATATATGTGCACTAAGTATCTACTGAGACCCCCGCTCTGACGACGTGACGGACCGACCCATGGCCACTGGCCACTGCGCGCCCATCATCCATGTGCTTTGCATAATCGCTCGGTTCCTGGATCTTCCTGGATAATGATGGACAGCAAGCTCGTATGTACCGTATATATGGACAGCCACCAATGGATCACTGGCTACCTTCCTATGTGCCCGGATCTCGTACCCGTATCCATCCCTGTTTGGTCGATGCGATGGAGAGTGAGTGAGTGAGTGAGTGATGGGCAGCTGACAGACGTCCACGTGGACGAGTGCGTCGTGGGCCGTCGCCCACTCACTCACGTTCCTATATACGAGATATGGGTACTCTAGACACGGGAGCGGGGGACCGGGGGTTCGTGTGCACTGTGCACTGTCGACTGTCGACGTTCTCCCGTGCCAGGTGCCTTGCGCCCTGCATTTACCCCACTCGATATAGCTACCAGGTACGTACTCCCTACGATGTGCGTGCGTATAAAGGGCCGCCATCCCCCGCCCCCCCGAGCTGTCTTACACGGCTTCCCATCCCCCTCCGTCCCCTCGCCATCCATCAGCAACACGCAACTAACCTCCCAGTCCAACAAATAAACAAAAACCCTCCATCGCCAACCGCCGTCCCCATCACTAAAACCTCGCCCCAATAATAACCAGTTATGGTGTACCTTACCCGGCAAGCCGTACGGAACGGCGCAAAGCTGCCCGACCCGCTGCCATTTCCGCCGGCGATCAAGTCTCGCGTCACCAAGAAGAAGGGGCCGCGCAAGCAGACCTCCACCGCCAACCAGAAGGTTCGTTTCTTTTGCCATGCGCAAATCAGATCTTCGGGGTTGAGAGAGAGAGAGAGAGATAGAAACTGACGCGGTTGGTTGCGTTGCGTTGCTTAGCCGCCGCTCATGACTGCAAGGGAGAAATCCAATAAGAACTTGAAGAAGAAGAAGAAGGCGACGGCACTGGAGAAGAAGAAGGACGAGAAGGAGGTGGAGAAGATATAAAGGGCCTGACACGGATATGCCGCGATATGTGGGTTTGGGCCCGCTCGGGGTGAGGTGGTTGGTGCGGTGGTGGGGTTGAATTGGGCTGGGTTGGTGGATGAAGTGTGTTTCTTCCCACCGCGGGGAGGGGGGGCGTATGGGATCGGGATCAGGATTGGAAATGGGAATGGGGGATGGGAGGGCTTTGCGCTGCAACTTTGATTCGAGATTCGAGGGATTATGACGGCCGACACGGAAGACCGCGGTGTACCTGTTTGTTAGTGGTTTTCCTGGAAAGCGGGGTGGAGGGTAGTATGTGCGGCATGTGCTTTGGGGGATGGACGGACGGCATCGTGTGCTCTTTCGAAGGATTTATGCTACCTACTCTTGGGTCTTCCGCTCGTTAAGGCCTTGTGTCTAGGTCCGTTCAGTGGGCAAGATCAAACGTGTCTTTGTTGTGTTGGTCCACTGGCCTCCATTCGACGGCGAAGCGAGCCCAACACGGTGCCGTGTGCTCTTTGCTCTTTGCAGTCGTGAAGCCGCCTTCGCTCTCGATGGATTTCGATGCGAACATCGCTTGACATGTCCGAGCGAGCCGATCGGCACCGATCGGAGGAGGGAGGGAGACCGGCCGGCCAGCGTTCTCAACTCGGTGTGGCGGTAAGGCGCCGAGTTGGGTTCACCACGGTAAGCTTGAGGTTCCGGGTGTCGCGTCCAACAAGGGGTGCACGATGGTAGAAAAGCCCGAGCATCCGCCGAGTCGAGCACCCCTCGTAGCAAGCACCCCGCACACTACAACTGTGAAACGAAACACCCTATGTGCTCCCACGCTACTTACCAGCCTATGTCCAAGCGCGGGCTTCGAGACCGTGCCCACCGCTTCACCGCCGCTTCACCGCCGCTCCCCCGCCCCGGCAAGATGGACGGGAAGGCCCCGCACGCATCCTCGTGCTCTGCGCGCGGTTGCAGAAAGTCATTCCTTTTGTGCACCGATCCGTCCGTCCTGGCCCACCAGATCAGAGAGTAGGACGGCGCGGATGAGACGCGCTTGGTTGCGAACTTGCGATGAACGAGTATTACCTGCCATCCTGTGACTGCGGCTGGGGTTGAGGTTGAGGGTGGTGGATCTCACGGATCACGCCGGAGATGTGAGCAGCCGCTGCGAGACGATTTGGTCGCCGTGCGCGGATTCCTGACGGTACAAACGGCTGAACTATCGGGATTTATACGGATTTATTGCCAGGTAGGAGGTAGGTATGTTCGATGATGGATGATGGAGGTCAGCCCTCTTGTTCTAACTTCTAATGCTTTTCGACGAATGTCTGGTTTCCCACGGTACTCGTGGTCGTGACGGTTCTTGGTAAACGGTGAATACCTACCTCCTACATACAGATGGGTGACTCGGCTCTCGAGTCCGAGTTTTCGGTTCCCAGTGCCAGCTTTCGCGGGCCAGGAGGTGTGGAGATGGAGATGGCCGAGGAGAATGAGAATTGGAGCAGCTGACGGAGTATACCGTCACGATTCAATGGTGAGATCTGGAGATGTGGCACCGATGTACTTCCTTTTGTTGCAGAAGATGGTCTACCTACCGACTCTGTCTCCGGATAGTAGTATGTACGCAGCCGATGACCTTCTCGGAGTTGGGAGTTGATATGGCAGTGGGAACCCCTCCTTCCGGCAGTATAGGCAGTACAGGTCCCGAGCCGGAAAACCCAAGACTCGATGTCGAGACTCGATAATTTCTCAAAGCCGAGCCCGTAAGATATGTTCTAGCCTGCCGGGCAAAACTAGTATTTTATAAATGGACCGGCCACCAGACCAAGCGACCGGCCCCCAGACGAAGTGACTGGATATACGAAGTGACCGGACAGTGGGGAAAAGTTTTGCGAGCAGACCGGTCTGCCCGCATATTTTTGAGGAGGCCAGTCTGCTCGCAAGTTGCCGGCGCTACTCGTTAGCTAAAAAGTTCTGTGGTGCCATTAGAGAAAATCTTTTTCTCGCTACTACGAAAGAGCTGTTCCTCTTGCCACCATGAATAGACAAATATCAGGTTTGACATATTTGATATTCGGCTTCACATCTTCAAGCATCATGCCTTCACATATCACCGTCATTACTGCGATAGTAGAAGCTACAGCCTACAGATGCCTCTGCCGAACTTTCAAGTATTGGTTGACAGAACTGAGAACAGTCCACGAGTCGCCGCTGTTTGACCAGCACCCACAATAAGCCGCCGCAGTCTCCTTCCAGGTGCCCAAACAGCATCCAGCCAGAAAATGGCTCAGCCTACTGACAACATAACGAAGGTCATCTGCGGTGGTGGTTGTATTCAGGGGGAAGCTGGAGGAGAAACAGCTGAGGAAGACATTGGACGGGTGTTGAGTAAGAGAAAAAGGGTGCACGGCTAGGACGCACGGCTGAGGGGACGATAACGTGTAAATTCACATGAGGTCTGTGTGAAGATTTGTGCGTTGACTCGATAGAACATTATTGACTGCTGATATACTTCAATCCATCGCCGTAAATGTGATGCCCATGGATATGCACATAAATCATGTCCGGCAGGCTGGTCTACTCGTAAAATAATCTCGGTGGACTGGCCAGACGACCAAAATCACCCAGCAGGCCGGTCTATCGGGTTAAAAATTATCTGCAGAGACCGGTCTGTCCAGAATATTTTCTAACTCGGCAGTCCGGTCAGATTGCATATCCAGTCATTTGCCCCCCGGGCCGGTCTATTTATAAAAAAACACATTTTTCCCGGCAGGCTAGAACAAATATGTACTTGGATTACCGCTGTCGAGAATCCGGTGGTAGTGGTAAATAGTACATGAATCATACATACCCAGACAGTAAATCCAGCTGAACAGTGAACTCACTACTCATGAACGCCGGACGTCTTCGTCGTGTTACTGTCACTATGCACCTCCAAGAATACCAGACTATCTCAATACTCTAGGTAAATCACCGGGACCACGCCGCTCCCCAAGCTGGAGCCCAAGGGGCGAACTTCGAAGACCAGACGAAGCGTGAAATTCCACACTGTGCCTGAGAGCAGCAGCGAATATAAAACCATGATCCAACGACCTGCGGAAGCGGCTCTCGTGCTGATAAATACATACCGCCCCTCCTTCCAAGTCCTATGTACTGCGGATACCGTTACATATGTCGCAATCTAGATTCCAACATCATTTCTGCACATTTACCGAGACACAGGCAACCACGGGTTCGCTAGCTAGTAAACATGCTTGTTTGAACTACCTACCTGGCTAGTTATGCTGACCACCAAGCACTGACTGCAGCAGTAGGAAATTGAACCGGACACATACATGTGCACTTTACCTGCCTATCGCTACTATTTTGATCTAACCTATTAAGGGTGTGAATAGACATATGTGTTTGTAAATAGTACCCACGAGAGATCCGCACCGTGTAAGTTGAATTGGAGTGGGTATAGGCCGACTCGCGGGGTTCTAGAAGCTTTTCATTCCTGCAGAGTGTATACACACCGGCACTTGTCTCTGCAGAACCTATATATCTCCTTAGTCCCTTCATATCCACCATCGTCTGCGCCTGTTTGGCCTCTTTCTCCTTCTCCGTCTCCCGGTGTTCTCCTGCCAAGGTCCTGGTTCAACTTACCGCTGCAGCCGACCAATTTGAGGTCTGCTCGAATCTCGGTAGCTATCGACGATCGTCTTGTTCTCGCTGAGAGATATTGAAGCGTAACTACTCTGCAGAGAAGAGACGGTTGCATACCATATGACTTCCAGACGCTGGCCAAAATACCTACCTTCCGGTATTTCGTCCCATCGGTCGGGGTAGGTATGTCAAACTGCAAAGGTATATAGTCAAGCCCGGGGGGGTTACCCGACGATATTTATGGGCTAAACTCGCACTCCATATCTACTGTATTACCCATGTCTACTGTATGACTGTATTACTGCGGAACAGCATCTAACCAAACCACACCAAACCACACCAAACCTCACCACCGACCCGCCGGCAAACGGCCTACAACGCCGAGGAAATGAAAGAGACGGGATAGACAGGCAGTCCTTTATCTGCTGATGCTGATGCTGATGCTTTCTGTTGGAACGAAGCTTCATGTGCAATAGCAACCCTATGTGCATTCTTGCTTCGCTTCCTTCGCTTCCTTTGGACTTGGCTACAGGAAGTCTGAGTAGCGGGGCGAGCACTTGTACCTTTTCCAGCTCGAGATGCCATTATGTGCCTCGAGTGTACAGATTCGGCGGGGTGTGCTAATTTGACCATACGATTCCCTAATACAATGGGTTGCATCGTCACTGCAAGAGAATGAATGGAGTTTCTACATATAAAAGGCCATAGCGAGGTCTACCAATGCCCATTCAGCGAGCCCACCAGGTCAACATCCCACCAGTCAATAGACCAACTCCTGTCATTCTTTTTTCGCTATCTTCACACCGACATCTGTCTTCTTTCTTTTTGTCTATCTTCCCACCGCCGTCTGTCTTTTCAACAGTGAAACAGAGTACCTAGCCAGCATGCGTTTCCTCCTGCTCTTTTCTGCCTTCTGGTTTACCGGTGCCGTCGTTGCGAACACTCTTCCCGCCTCGGGCCTGACCTCACGCCAAGAACCAGTTAATGCAACCGTTGATGCAACTGCTCTTAATGCAACTATCGATCCAACTGCCGAAACCGCCATGCGGACAGCCTCAACCTCACATGGAAGCCAGGTCTCCTTCAAGAGGGTCAGTGCTGTGTGTTCCCTCATGAAATTCGACTCGTGCTAACCGTGCCTATAGACGACCGTCTGCGAAACGACCAGTGGCGCGAGAGCCTACAGTGGCTACATTCGCCTTCCTGCCGACAAGCTCTCCGTTTACCAGTCGTACCCGATCAACACCTTATATGGTACTTCCAGTCTCGGAATGCGAACCCGGAGCGCCAACTCACCGTGTGGCTCAACGGCGGATCCGGCTCCAGCTCGCTCTCGGGACCATTCGAAGAGAATGGCGGCCCGTGCCGTGTCAACAACGACTCCGAAACCACGACGCTCAACCCGTGGAGCTGGAACGAGCACTCGGACATGCTCTACATCGACCAGCCGAACCAGTTCGGGTTCTCGTACGATACGCTGGTCAACTCGTCGCTCACCATGACTGCCAACGGGCAGCACATCGACAGCCTCGAGGGTGTCCAACCAGTGCCGGAGATGAATGCCACTTTCTACACCGGAAAACTGCCGAGTCAGGTTGTCGAGAATACCGCAAACACTACCGCCATCGCCGCCGAGACTATGTGGCACCTCCTGCAGGGCTGGACTGAGGGTTTCCCGCATCATCGCCGCAGGAGAGGGGACAAGCTGAGCATTTGGTCCGAGTCTGTATGTGCCCCTACCACTCCCTGACTTATGGAGATTACGGCTAACACACCCAGTACGGCGGCAAATACGGCACCGCAATCGCGACCTTCATCAACCGACAAAACGCGCGAATCCACGCCAACACTCTGCGCGGCACCATTCTACCACTCGAGACGCTCGGGATAATCAACGGATGCGTCGACCTGATACAAGGTGACTTCCTCGCGCAGCAAGCCTACTCCAACGTGTACGACACGCCGATCTTCAGCACCCCCAAATTCGCCTCCGCAAACGCCTCGTAGGCCAGACCCGGCGGCTGCAAAGCGCAAATCGTGAAATGCCGGCGCCTCGCGGCCCTCCACGACCCCGCAGACCGCGGCGACGTCGTTCTCGTAAACGACGCTTGCAGGAACGCCCTCGACTTCTGCTCGTACACTATGTTCGGCTCGTACCTCGCAACCAGAATGGCGAGTCTGCACGATATCGCCGCACCCCCGCCGACGCCCGTCGTCTTGGAACCGTAGCTCCTGGGCTACCTCATGCGCAAGTACGTGCTCGAGGACCTCGGTGTGCCCGTCAACTCCACTGTCTCCTCGTTCACCTCGTTCCTAGTGTTCAGGTCCACCGGCGACTCCGGGCGCGCCGGCAGCGTAGGGGAGCCGGCGGACCTGCTGGATGCGGAACTGAAGGTGTCGATGCTGTATGGCGATCGGGACTTCATCTGCAACTGTTTGTCTCCCCCCCCCCCCTCTTCCGCAGTATGCACTCGACCAGTCGACTAACCCACCACCGCAGGGCTGGGCGGCGAAGCCCTATCACTCGGGCTCTCGCACCAGGGCGCCGCACAGTTCCGGGTAGCCGGGTACGCCGACGTCATGGTCGGCGGTGTACGCCGGGGTAAAGTCCGCCAACACGGCAACCTCTCCTTCACGCGCGGTATGCCCCCCTCCCCTCCATTCCCCCCTGTCCCCCTCCCCCCTCCAACGCACCAACACACCCCAGTCTTCGATGCGGCCCACCGCCTCCCGTTCTACCGGCCATTGACCGCATCCGCCCTTTTCGCGCGATGTCAAACTGCTGCTGCCCGGGGTGGGGAGGCTGCCGTGTTATGTTCTACATCCGCTGGGGTGCACGGGGCTGGAATGGGGGGGCGTCGTGAGTGGCGTGGCGGCGGTAGGGAGGTATTTACTTCAGGGGGAGAGGGGAGAGGTGTAGAGAGGGGAGAGGGGAGGGGGTGGTTGGGAGGGGGGTTTAGATCGTACGTTGGACGTTTGTTGTTTGCTGTTTGCTGTTTGCTGGTTAATGAGTAATGTAATTCATGGTTGTTGTTTGTGCTTCTGCTTCTGCTTCTGCTTCTGCTTCTACATCGCTAGACTCGCGAGTAATGTAGAATCGAAGTTGGTACTAGGTACCTATACTCTACTACAGTCATGATCGATGATTCGTTCTCGTAGTTCGGCCGCTGGTTAGCGTCTGCTCCGTTTTCCGCTTATTACCTCTGAGGCTTGTCATTCCCACCAACCCGCGGTACTAGTAGTGTGAATGAGCCATGAAAGCCTCGGTTGAAAAATGAGGTGTTTGATCTCTAAAATCACGCGCGAGTGACCTGATGTGAAGAGCTGTAGCATGTGGCGTGTGCTACAGTTAGTAAGCTCAAGTGGCTACGGTACTATACTACCTAGTATAGTAGATCCAGCCACACTCACGCAGCCGTACATAGTCTCACAGTTCACAGCCGACCCGACAAGGAGTGACACGGTGAGGAGTAATGCCATCACGACGAAGGTAGTAAGAAAACCGCAGACCCCGCCCCGGTCCGCTTTTTGCTCCGAATCCATGTCCACAGAGTAGGTACACAGAAGGTGTCTTCTCATCCACGTACACACAACACATAACGTACACCGCCCCATACCGTAAGTACCGGTACAATACACCCAGCCCTCCCTCTTCCTCCAACCCCTTCCCATCCCCCCCTCTCTCTCTCCCGCCTAAGCACCAAACCCCATCTCCGCCCCCGCGCCTCCCCCAAAGGCCGCTTCATAGCCGTCCATGCCCATATCGGCCATTCCCAGGGGTGGCAGAATGGAATGCAAGTACGTAAAATCGCTCTCGAGCATGAACTCTCCCAGCTGCGTTCTGAACGGCGATTTTACCTGGCCACCCTGGCCCTGTGCTCCCTGCGCCTGCTCGCCGCTGCCGCCGTACTGTTGTTGCTGCGCCGCGTGCTGCGCGTGCTGGATCAGCTCATGGTTTGTTGCCGGCGGGATCTGGGTGCGGTCGAAGAGCAGCGGAGGGTTTAGTTGCAGCGTGCGTGGGGAGGAGGCGGCTATGTGGGTTAGTCCTGCTGGTGAAGGGGGGAGGGTGGGAGGGTGACAAACCGAGTGGCGCGACGTAGCGCATAAGGTTCTTGAGGAAGAGACGGCATCGGTTCGCGATCCTGTTCCCCGTCGCGAGGACGTCGAGCGTCTCGACCGCCATCTCGAGGTGCTTCAGGAGACTGCCAGTCTCGTGCACGAAATCCTTTCTGTGTGCGAGTTGCCGCACCTGCGATACGATCAAGACCCTGCTGGCGAGGACGAGCGACGCGTTGAATGTGTAGTACAGCGTGAACCACCAGAAGCCGAGTAAGTCGCTGCGGTGCTTGACTTTGTGGATGATCTCGACGGTCTGGATCGCAGAGTCGCCGCACGCCTTAATGCTAGCCAGCCCAAAGTTCCAGAAGAAGTCGCCCTCGAAGCGGTTCGTGCTTGGACCTGCGCCCCAAATCTCGCTGAGACCCTTGACGGCGAATTGTCGGTGGAGGAGTGCGCGCGTGTTGTAGTAGCGCAGCGAGAGGATGATGCGTTGGCGCCAGAACTGGGACGGCGAGCCGCCGCCCTCGGGGATGTCCGCTGCCGAGACGGTCTGCAGGACGGTCGGCAGCGATTGTCGCCAGGTGGCGAGCTTCTCCTCGATTTCGGCGATGCGCGCAACGTCGGTGAAAGTGGGCTCGGATGGGTCTGTGCCGCCGAGGTTGCCGCCGTAAAGCGTGTCGATTATCCGCCCGAGAAGCGTGTACAGCTTGATCGAGACGATGAAGAAGGTCATCGACGTACACTCCGGAGGCTGCACGGGATTCACGGGCGGGGTCATTATCATGTTAGCTCGTAGGGCGTCATCTTCGACGTCGAGCGGGAGCTCAAGCTTATCGCAGTACTGGGCGATGGCGGATGGGCGACCGAAGGTCATACACAGAGTTCTGTCCGAATTAGTCTTCCATCATTCAGTGAATATCCAGCGTACCGCCTACCGGTCCAGTAAGACTAATCCGTACCACGCCCTCTTCCTTAATTCCCTCTGCAACGGCTGAAACCGCTGTAGCGCTTGCGTGCTGTGCAATCCCAGTTGTATCGCCACACGGATGGCAAGTCCATGGGTGGTCCAGCACTGAACTGGTCTTCTCGTGCTCTGTAGGTAGTGGCTCATCAACAGCAGCAGTTGTACGGAATCCAGACTTGTCATCCGTAGGAGATGTCCGTTACACAGCGCATAGCCCCTCTTGTAGAAGACTTCTGCCGCAGCGTACTTCTCCTCAGTGCTCACATCCTCCTCCGTACTCGCACGGGAACCCATTGCCATCACCAGATTCAGCAGCGCGAGCCAAGTCCGCCTGACTTTCGTGAATCCATCCTTCAGTGCCGCCTCGTAATCGTCGAGGAAGGTCGGCTGGTGCAAGTACGGGTAGAGCACGTTGGTGTTCGCAAAGTACAGTGAGATGTAATGTCGAGCTTTATGCTCAGCGGGTATCACATAGGGATTGACGTTTCCCGGCCGGATATCGAACTCGGTGGAGCCGTCTTGACCGGAAGAACCCCGCGGTGATAGTGGTTGTGATTGCGCTTCCGAGGCTTCTGCTCGGCGAAGATCTTTTTTGAATGCCCCCGCTACACTGACGCATGTTGACAGTGCCCGCGTAACGTGGCCAATGAGCGCAATATTCGATGAAGGGCCTGCAGTGACGAGTCAGTATCCGCTCCAATCTTGCCGGCAGTGGGATGAGGTGTACTACCGAAATACCCATAATCGTCCTCATCGCCCAAACTCAGCGCTCCCATTCCGTCCAACACCGTATCCGGCGCTGGAGTGTCGTCCTCCAGATGTCCATGTCTGACATTGACAAACATCTCGCCACTGCTACTACTACTATCCGGCGCGGACGATGACGACCTCGAGTGCTCCCGCTTTCTCTTCGACCTTGACGACTCACCGATTGAATCTCTTCTTCCGCGCTCATCCGATACTTCGTCTCCCGGGACCGCAGTGGGCGTGAGCGAGCTCCGTAGCTGCTCGTTGAGTAGGTTTTCAACGGCGAGCAGGCGAGTCTCGAGGCGGCCGATATAGCTACATATGCACGTCAATCAATCGATTCGTCCGCGACCGTTTGACTGTCTGCACCGGGTAGGCGGGCGGGCGGGCTTACTCCTTGCTTACTATAGTGTTTGCCGACGATGCCGACTGCTGATACACGCAATCAAAGTCAAGATCTGGGGGGTTTCCAAAAGTGATCCGTTAGCCCGGGAGGTTTCTTTTCGCTTTGCCGATGAGCTCGCTCGCTAGGGGGGATATTGGAGGGGGAGGGGGAAGGGCGGGATGGAGTTGCCGGAGGTGAAGGATATAAGATGGCGACAAAGTCAAGCTTTTGAAGCACGGACGGATGAGATGACCCACATACCTCTGCACATAGAGCATCTCGGACGCACACCATCGCACTGTCATCGCGCGGACCAGTAAGCCAAGGCACTTTACTACACTCAAGCTACGAGGTATCTCCGCGGTGAAGCCAGCCTCCGTCTCTCAGCCACTCTCCCTCCTCCTTCTCGATCGGTGCACTGCTGAAGATGAAGATGATTGTGAAGATTGTGAAGATGATGCGATGATTGATGACTGGTTATCCAACCTTTGATTTCCTCAATCTACAGGCATTGCAAGCCAGCGACACTCTCTTCCGCTTCGAACCGCCGTCGATGCTGCCAGCACCAATTGCGCCGGAGCCGCCGCCGCCGATGCCATTCGACGAGCTGATCGGCGTGCCGACTCCTCCGGGGCCACCAGGATTACTTGCTGCGCTAGCACCATCCTCGCACTCGCTATGGGCCCTATTCATCATCCACAGAATGATGGGTGATGAGTTCGGAGTGTGCGCGCGTATTTGTGATTGAGTGTGTGTGTTGGGTGAAGTCGCGTCAAGGTGGTTCGGACGGTCGGGGAATGGTCGGTTGGCGTTGGGGGCAAGGGGGGGAAAGAGCGGAAGAGGACAGACCGTTTCGCTTGCTCTCTTTTTTCTTGCACTGCGGCAGAAGGCGGGTTTACATACGGCGGGGTTACTTCGGATTGCGCGGCAGAAAGGGAAGGGGGCGCCGGGTTCGACGGGGATTGCGGCTGGACCGGGGTCCGAAATGTGGGGAAGTCTTAAGCAGGCGGCTCCTGCATGCAGAGGCTTTGTCAGGAAGCAGCGCGGGATTTAAGCAATGGCGTTCTGGCCACTTCGACTGGCGATGGGGGCAGCTGCGCCTAGACAGGGGCGACAGGGGTGCGAGGAGACCGAGACAGCGACCGACGGAGACAGGGCCAGGACCGAGGAGGACGAGGAGGCCCCGTGCGAGTACGGGCTCGGGGCTAGGGAGAGAACGGGGGCGACTAGGGAGCTGTCAGCCCTATCCGAGGCCAGTGTGGGAAGGGTGCTGGCTGCGGGATACGCGGCGTCGCGTCCAAGATGCCAAACAGGTGATGGACAAGCGAGCAGCCGATGATCGCCATGCCCGAAGGAGGCTGGTGATTACTGATCTCTTTCGCTCGCGACGAGACGAGACGGGTTGTGCGGGGTACATGCCGTAGTCTGGCGACTTCCGGGCGTGCATGATGCTGCAAATGCAAGGCCGTGTTCGCGTATGCTAAGGGGTGCGCGTCGCGTTCTGGCCATCTGGGGGCTGGGTGGACAATCTTGTCTGATATATAGGGGGTTGGAGATGCTCAAGGAGATTGCATTGACTTCGGAGTTCGTATAGCTGGGGGGCTGCTGGTGGTGGTGGCGAGCTGTTTGATATGTTCGGCTTCTGCCCACGGAAGCTGTGAATATGAATCATCGTATGCATAGCACGAATGGCCGTGGACAGTCGCGACGGGCGGCACGGTTGAGCCCCAATGCACAGAGCACCGCAATGGGTCGGAGAAACGTTTGGAGCCTTGCGTTGCGTTGCGACGACCGACCTTCCATCGTCATCACTACAATCACCACAATCACCACCACCACCACCACCCTCTGAGAGAGAGAGAGAGAGACCTTTCGACACTCGCTGCTTGCGTACCGAAAACTCAAACTCAATTCCCCCTCAGTACCACTAGCATACTCCAGAGTCTTTCTCCCGCTGTCACATCGCCTCATCCGGCAACCCTACTGTCGCTCATTCCCCTCCTCGAGCTGCAGGCAGAATGGACTCCAAGTCTCAATACTTCGAGCTATTGGGCCTCGGCGCACACCGATCCGTGCTCTCGATCGCCCCGTTCCTGCTCGGCGGCTACCTGATCCTCCGTCTCATCCGAGAGTACGTCTACCGGAAAAGCCGAGGTGCAGCAACCAACTCGGTCGTTGGCAACAAACAGGACGGAGGAGATACCGAAGTTGAACGCACGCCGGAGTTCGAAGAATGCGAACTCATTATCAAGGTCAAACAGGAACCGGGCCATGATCGCGATCCGAAGAGCTTTTCGAAACACTATCATGTCGAGAAGTGGGAGGATGCGAAGCTGTCCGCCCCGGCCTCGGCTGTGCGCGTGGTCGAGACCATGGCTGCCAACCCGAAGTAAGTAGCCGGAGCTGACGCATTTACATGGAAAAAGCAGCTGAAGAGTCAATCAGGGTTCCCATCCGCCGCCGGAAGGTCCCCCAATGGAATAACAGCGGCCCCTCACCGCCGCAGACACCTCTCTCACATGGCGACCGCGACCGCGACCGCCCCCAACCCACCGCCCCCAACCCCGAAACACCACGCACCCCCCGCCACAGTGTCCGCATCTCGAGCGGCACCAAGACTCCCTCGCGTGTCACCGTCGAGATCCCACCACGCACCACCCCGAAGCCGCCCTACATCCCGCCGCCCACCGACCTCGACGCACCCACCTTCTCCCCCGGCGACCTAGTCCTACGCCGGCGTCCCTCGCGCTTCGTGCACCCAGGCACCGCGGACGCAGACGAGTACGACGGCCCATTCATCCTCGCGTCGACGAGCAATCCCGCGCCTGTGCACCTGCACCACGTCCGCGGCGCAAAACTGGCCTCGTGGGCGAAGCTGGAGCTGCCGCCGGCCTCGAGCGCAGAGAGGTGGACACAGGAGTCGAAGCTTGTGCACTACACGGGTGCACTCACGGTCGCGGAGCTGCGGGAGGCCACGAAGGAACGCGATGGCACCTTCATCATGGATAAGATCCGGAGTGAGCGCTGGGTCCAGGCGAGGGGAGGCGTGCTCGCCAGGGAATTTAGGGTTTCGTGGCTGGGGTACCCGTGTGAAGACGATACGTGGGAGCTCGAGGGGAAGGTTTACAATACGGATTGGCACATGATTGAGGAGTTTGAGGGCAGGAAAGCATAGTTAGTCGATTGGGCGGGGGGATCTTTGTTTCGTGACGTGGTTGGTTTGATTGATTTGGCGCTTTTTTCTTTCTTCATTTCTTTCTAGATGGGATTGACTGGGCGATCTGGGCGGTTGAGCTTTTTCTGGGAGGCAGGCAGGACTGATTGGTGGGTGGCGTTTGTGAGCATTTGTCGGGGTTTTGTTTGGCATTTTTTTTCTTTTTTTCTTTTCTTTTCGTAGGACGGATCTGATCTTACGCTTGTATAATTTGGCGGGATACCTAGACGCATGAATGGATGGATGGATGGAATAGGCCTACTTGCCCGGTGCCTTTACGGCAGGGATCCGGTACCTTCTATGGCAGATGAAGGAAGCTCCGAGTCCATGCAGTGCAGTGCAGTGTGTGTAGTGTAGTGTAATATCGGTCAGATTCATCCTCCGGCAAGAACCTCCAGAAAATACGCAGGTATCATATAGAGTACACATCCTCCCTCTCCCCTCGCACTCCACTCCTCCACTCCCTCCCCTCACAACGACGCGCAAGCAACTGCAAAACCACCCGCTATGCAACAAAAGCACCCGACTCCCCGAAAGAAATCCCATTACGACTATGACTCTACCAGTCGACAGCCCAGCCGTTCTCCTTGAGGAACTCCTCGCTCGCAGCTCGCAGCGCAAGGTTCGGCCGCAGGTCGCTCTCCTTCAGTGGCTCGCGCGTCAGCGGGTCCGTCTGACTGCGCTTCAGGTGGTCGATCAATGTTGAGCGATCGTAGGAGTGGCCATGGATCGTCTACCCACACACACACATCAGCCTTGCCACGATCTTCCGGAGAGATGGAGGAGGGAGACCATACGATAACAGGATCCCACATAACGCCAAAGGTGATATTATCGATCAAGTAATCCGGGACGGTACGTTTCTGCAACCTCACCGCCTCCGCTCTCCCAAAGACGTCCTCAAGGCGTCTACACCTATCGACCTTCTCCTCGTCGTCCCCGCCTCCCTGCATCACCGCCTCACACGTCACCCGCAGCAGCGCGCTCTCGCGCAGCACGCGCTCGCGCTCCGCATGCTCCCACTTCACCTTCTTGGCCTGCAGGCACGACGCCGCGATCGCGGAGATGGACGGCGACCGCTGCGAAATTGCCAGCTGGTACGCGCGCTGGCTCATCGAAAAGGACTCCCCGGGTCGGTTCAGGTGCAGCAATGCTACGCCCAGGTAGGTGTACGCTTTCACTGGAGGACGAGCACTGGTCAGCCACGGCCCCTACCACCACCCGAGAAACAGAGAGAGAGAAAGAGAGAGAGAACGCTCACGCACACGAACTAGGAAGCAGGTCGATAGCCTTCTCGCAGTCCTCGACGACGGCTTTCCACTGCTCCATGCGGGTGCGCGCCAGAGCGCGGTTCGTGAAGAACGCTGCATTGCTGCGGGCGCGTCAGTCTCAAACCTGTCGGGGTAGGAGGGGAAGGGGGGAAAGGAAAGAGAGGCGCACGTGGGGTCCTTGATTATCGCTTGCGTGTAGAACTTCTCGGCGCCGACGAAGTCGCCGTTTTGGAAGCACCTGTGCGAGAGGGGACGTGTGCATTGTCAGCTCTAGATCCGAGGACGATCCGAGTATCCACTGGGTACGGCGGAGATTCTCACTGGTTGCCGCAGACTTTGAGCGCATCTGCGGTCGTCATCTTGAGAGTGTGTGTGAGGTGTATGTGTGTGTCGTGTGTAGCGTAGGTAGCGAAGTAATTGCAGAGCGAACGGGAGGGAGGCGAAGTCTTTACGATAGATAGCAAGTTGTCGTTGTCGTCCTCGGAGTTACAGGAGCAGCGGAGGACAGCGGAATCCCGAGTGGTTGCTGACTACGCTTGCTATCTCTCGCTACGACCCGTCACGTCCGACGAAGCTTCGATGCTCTTCGAACCAAGACGGGTTGGTTGGTAACTGGTTGTTGGGTTAGGGTTACCTGTCTAAAGTTACGCGTCACGATGCAGTTCCAACTCACCTCAAACTTTGGATGGAGATCACGGATTTTCTGTAGATCGCCAAACGAGCAATCGAAGAACCAAGCGGTAACCGGAAGTGGATTGATGTTTAACGCCTAATTATTCTGCAGAGACAGTCTATGAGAGAATTCAGCCGCAGTGTCTCTCTTGATGTTGCCTCTGTTTCATTTAACGAGTGCTGCTGAGAAAGCTGTGCGGCCTCTCGGAAAACGCCGTCGAGGGCTCGGCTTCCCATTTCCGTATTCGGGGTCGGGTTGGAACCAGCAAGGGGCCGAGCTAGAAACTTGCATGGGATTCTGCCAGCAACGGAACCAGCCAGCAAGTTGCAACCGATCCATCGCCGCTAGAGTACCGCCATACTTTCATCATACTAGCAAAGGCGACAGCGGAAGGATATGGCAGCAATAAATACGCCACATCACACGAAAGACAGTCAAGGAGTTAACCAACGGTCAGTTGCGTACCTAAGTCGAGCAAAATATACGTCAGTTCTCTACTGTTTAGCAGGAGTTACATACAAGGCTGGGCGAGCATGCCGTGTTAAGACTCGGCTAGGACCGACGACGGGGCGTAGGGGGTTGCTAAGGTCTTGGACACGGCCGGCTGTGGTGGTCGTGAGGTTTGCCCAGGGTGGTATGAGGTGACGGACAGGAGTGACTCAGAACTCTTCGCGAGTTATTATAATAGGGGTTGCGGATATTGTTGACAACTTGACATGGGAATGCTGCCATGGCGTCATGCATGATGAGGATTTACGTGGAGTACCTACATATCGTACGGCAGAGAGAGCAGCGCCCCAGCCTGGCTGGGGCTCAACTCAGTACTACAACCAAGCACAACTCCCGGTGGTGAGATCAAAGTCCTTTACCGATATGTACTTTGGGAGTAAGGCGAATGGGGTACCAGTACTTACCATGGAAACCCCCGTAGATACCCTTTCACCGGGTCGGCACCAGGCAGTGCTCTATCATCGTTCTCTGAGTCTCTGACCCGATGTTGTTGCTATTTCCAGCCGCCGTCGCCTCACCACTCAATTTTCAGAGACTCTGCTCCATGTACTGGGTTCATTTCGGCAAGGCACAACCTGTTGCAACTCTCCCAAAGCAGCTAACCTGTATTTCAGGAGCCGAATATGCCGGGCGGGAATCAGCACAGCCTGCCCACACTGGACATCTCGGTGGCATAAATAACACTCGTGGACCACTCGGTTTTCTTTTCAGCAACACTGCACACTCGCTGATCCAATCGTCACTCTCGCTCACTCACCCACTCGACCTCAGCTTCACCGCAAAACCAAATAAAAAAATGAAGTTCACATCCACCGCGACCGCCCTCTCCCTGGCCGCGCTAGCTCGCGCCCAACTCGACCTTACCAGCCTCACGCCGGAGCAATCGTCGGTCTACATGCCCATCATCTCCAAGCTTGCCGCGCTGGGAAGCCTCTCCCAATACTCTTCCTACGAGGCCGCGCTGGAGACGGCATTGACCGAGTTCGTCGCCACGCAGACCGCCTTCGCCTTCTTGACCATCCCCACCGGCTCGGCGTTGCAATCGTACATCGACGTCATGTCGTCCGTCAACGTCGAGTTCGCCGCCACCCAGACCGTGATCGACGGCCCCGCGAAGACCGAGCTCGTCGAGGTGCAGAGCGAGTTCTGGAGCGTCGCGGGGAGCATCGTTATGAGCGCTGCCTCCGCCGCCGGAGAGTCGCCGAGCGGGAGCGGCAGTGGGAGTGCCGTTGCGACTGCGAGTGGGAGTGGGAGTGGCAGTGAGAGTGCGACTCCGACGCCCACCGGCTCCAGCGGTAATTCGACGTCTTCGGCTACGGGAACGACAACCGTCAGGAGCACTTCGGTCATCTCGATCACCCGAGCGCCGACTGCGCCTGCTCCCGCCGCTAGCTCTGCTGCGCCCGATAACAGTGCGATGGGCTTGAGCGCCAGTGGGCTGATGATGGGTGTTGTTGCTGGTGTTGCGGCGGTTTTTGCGATGGTATAGGGAGCTGGGAGCTGGGATGGGGGTACCGGGTGATGTTTGTACGGCTTATGTGGGATGTAAATAGCACGTTTTGGATACGGTTGAAGTAACATGATGGAGTCTGTGAGCATTTTTTGGATACGACTAAAGTAACATGATGGAGTTTGTTTATGCAATGGAATTCGTGACCATAGGAGTGTTGACTCGGCCGAATCGAACTCGAGGGGATACCTACCTAATCCTCCGAAAAACTGGGGTGAAGCGGGGGAGAAAGCACATCGGAAAAACACTGCGGTCGAGTACCGCGCTCTACCATCCAAACACTGTGGGCGCATGAGAGATGTGACGTGATGTGCCCGTCTCAAACTCATGCAAGACCGCCAACATTATGCAAGTTAAGATTGGCCCATCCTTCCTCACAGTTCTGTGGGACACGAGATTCGGAGAATTAACGGTATCGCTACAGTGGTAACACGAAACCGGTACAACACCGCTTCCGAAGCTTCCACAGCCTACAGCCTACATCCTACAGCTCGCTACCGCATCCGCCCTTTGCCGCCAGGTTGAGCACGGCCAGTGCCACAATCTAGCGATACGTACCAGCCCGGGCAGACCGAATACGGGATCCAAATAAAGTGCGCCGCATCGTCGGGCCGACTGTCCCTCCCCCCTCCCGGCTATAAGCCGATATATACCTTACATTGATATAAAATCCCCTCCTCCCTCCTCCATCCTCCGCCTCCTTCCTACCCCCGTCTACCATCTACTCGCCCAGACAGAATGCTCCCCCACCTCCCCCTCCTCCTGCTCCCAGTCCTGCTGTTCGCCGCCAAGGCCACGGCCCGCTGCACCACCACAACTACGCCCACTATAACCCCGACCCCGACCCGCCCCGGCTGCAGCGACACCATCTGTATCATCTCCACGAACACCGGCTGCGGATGGGTCATGGGCGGCTGCTATCTGCATAGCAGCTGCGGCGGGACGTATTCTACCAAGGAGTGTAGCACGCCGGGGGTGAGCGAGGTGAGCTCTGAGGTGAGTGCGCCGTGCGGGGGGATTGGAAGGGATGGAGGGAGGGGGGGAGGGGTGAAAGGAGGGTGATAGGGATTGGCTAATGAATGGCGAGGGTAGAGCTCTACCACCACGACGACTACGGTGACGACGACGACTCCGGTTTAGGTGCTGTGGGACTGTGGGGAGGAGAAGGGTGGAATACAGCCATGTACAATGTATCATGAGCCCATGAATCAGGTTTCAAGTTCGCACGTATCTATGCAAACCTGTCAATTGTCACCTTTCACCTGTGTACCGTATGCGCCAGAGTGTTTGGCGGTCTAGTGCTGAGCGAAGCCTAAGTACGATGTCCCTTCCAGGGCTTTTCAGTAACGCACCGACTGCCACCGGGAGCTTCCCACCGGTTATATAGCCACCGAGAATTGGTGGGCTGGTGGTGGTAGGAACTGTAGTTGGTAGTTGGTAGAATACCGATAGTGAATGGTAATTCTGGAGGGAAACCCACAAACCACCAGAGGGTAGAAGGTATTCAACGTTATAGAACCCAGCTGCCACGGGGGTCCCTCACAGCAAGATGCCATCCGAGGGTGTCTTAAACCGGCAATAGGCGTAGTATCCGGGCGATATCCGTGGTGCTTTTGGCATGCAACAGTAAATCCGGTCTCGGAAGTCCAAGTCAGCATGGTGAAATGCTTTGTTTTGTGTTTTGTTTCTTCGGTGATCGCTCGCAGCCTACCTATGGCGAAACGCACCACCGTACGGATGGGTATCCTATCCTGTCTGATGAAATATGACCTCCGAGGGTTAGGGAATTTGCTCAATGATTGAGCGAGAGCAGACGATCGAGTTGAGAGTCAATAGCCACTCGAGGTTCACGTCTGGTGAGGAGTTCTTTCACAACCGCTGCTCCTCCTCCTCATTCTTCTTCTTCTTCTTCTTCTCATCCCCCTTCTTCTTTCTCTTCTTCTTCATCTTCACACACCACAGTCACCAGCACCGTCACCAGCATCATCACAAATTCCCCACAAACAACTTCTTCCAACAACAACGACTACCACTATCACTACCACCACCACCACTACCACCTCGAACCCCGTCCTCGAGGTCGCGGCCCCCTCCAACACTTTCCGCGAGGCGGTCACCAGCTACTTTGAAATTCTCGCCTTCCTCAGCGAGCTGTGTGCCGACTTCAGGGCGGAGGAAGAAGACGAGGAGGTCGCCGGCAAGGAGGAGCAGGAGGGGGTGGTCGACGGCGACAAGGAGGAGGAGGGCGATGACAAGGAGGAGGAGGAGGCGGAGAAGGAGGAGGAGGAGGAGGAGGAGGAGGAGGAAGAGTGCAAGGTCGACGACCAGGACGAAGGCGAGGAGGAGGACGAAAAGGAACAGGAGGAGGAGAGCGAGGAGGAGAGCGAGGAGGAGAGCGAGGAGGGAGGGCCTTTAGGGGCGGCGCATTGCTTTTTTTCTTTTTCCTATCATTATCAATAAACACACTTGAAGACTTGCTGTTCCATTTGATCATCGGTGATCGTAGATAGTGCTTTCGGATCCAAGTGAACTCTTGGACATACTTGTTGCCAGGTGTATTAGCTAAGTAGATAAGTAGGTCTTCGATCGAGATATCAACCTTTCGCCCATTTGGACTCACTACGACTATTGCAACCACCAACTTCCCAACCTTTCTTGCCAGCTCCGCTCTATTCCAGGCTGTTGGACTCATACTTACTCACTCGCATACTAAGTGACTTCCTGTGATATCAAACACATGTCGACACCTTAGAATGAAGCGGTCGTTTGCTGAAAAGCTAGCCTTGGAGTTGCGGCCAGTGCGCTAGTAGTAGTGCTTTGAATCTTACCTACTTCACTTATAAAATCCCACCTTTCCTCCCAACTCTTCCTCCCTCTCTCCTCCACATATCTAGAACCAACCGTTATCCAGAACAATCATTACCCGACCATTAACCTCATATTCTCCTTCTTTTCAGCATCCCAACGAGGATTTTGCTACGCTGCCCGAAACCATTCCAAATTCCGAATATGCGCAGCTGCCTACAGATGACAAGACGGTTACGCAACCCGCCAACGAGGATATTGCCCGTCCGACATTACCTACTTGTTGATTCATGCTACTGACTTATGATTGGTTTTCACGGTCCGATATCGACGCCGAGTTCTACCCTTTCCGGTACGTCCTCTCCCCCTCTCCCCCACTTTGTACTTCCAGGATAACCTTACAGAGCTATCCTGCTCAGCCGTAGTAGCGAGGAACTGATGGATCCGTGCAACCAGTCTACAAAGTAGACTGTCGCAGAGACAGTAGACGGATCCGACCCTCGAGGCTGAGCGGAAAAGATCGGGGTTTTCTTTTCTGCTGCCAGCAAAGTTCTTTCCCCCTTCCTCCGGGAGTCCAAGTTGGGGGAGAGCCGACTTGCTCTCGGTGGATGGCCTCTCCGAAACCGGGTGACAGGCAGTTTCGTGTTGAGGAAGAAAAAAAAGAAAGTATAACTTCCGAGTTATACGCGTATAGCTTGGTCTACTATCCACCCAGGTTATACGCGGAGGTTTTCTTCCTTTGCTGTGAGTCTGTGACAGCAAAGGTCTTTCCTCCTGGCCATGCATGCACATGTGTGAGAGGCATTTCGCATGCTTGGCCAAGGCCCATGCCTCCGAAACCGGGCTACAGACGGTTTCGGACGCGCAGATAAATAACCAAAGAAGTATAGCCTGGTCTGCTACCGCCCCAAGTTATACGCGGAGGTCGTCTTCCTTTCAGAGCAAAGGTCTTACCTCCTGGCCATGCATGAGTGAGATGCATGCGCCATTGGCCAAATGTTGTTGCTCTGGCCGCTGTGCGAGAGGATGGCATTGGCTTCTTAATCGACTGCGGTCTGCACTCTCGAGTCTCGATCCACGGCTGCTTCCCGGCGTCTCCCTGGGTTTTAGTTGTCAAATATACTGAGATCAATAGGAGGATGGGTACCTAGGAAGATGTGACTGTCTTATTACTTGCTTCTTCATTTACTACGATCCAGTGCCCTTCTATATATACAGAATATGTCTGCTGTTTGAAGATGGAGTCATCGACCCGCCGGCGAGACCATATAGCAGAATATATCTCCTCCTCCGGATACAGTTCGCATGACCGAGCCCTTGACTCTTGCAAAACAATGCTCCTTAAAACTTCACCATCACAAGCGACTTGCAGCGGACAAGAGGAGAAATCCTTCATGTGCTCCGGACGCCGTGATCTGACATTAGTCGTCAACCACAGTTACGAAGTACCTATTACGTTCCCCAATACTCCATTTTCTTTCATATAATCATGTCCTCCTAGTCATGGGTGACGGTCATGGCCGAAATCAAATGTTGCTGCTCTAGACGCTGTCGGAGAGGATTATATCGGTTCAATCGACGGCAGTTTGCACTCCCGATCCGCGGCTGCTTCCCGGCGCGTCCCTGGTTCTTAGTCAGCAACCACCGCCGGGCTACGAAGTATCACGTCACAATACTCCATGTTGTATCAATGCCTCTTTCATCCTGGCCATGAGTGACAGGCATGGCCGCCCAAGCCAAATGATGCTGCTTTGGCCGTTGCGCGAGAGAACGACATTGACTTGGTGTGCGAACTTTCGGAGATTTGCAGTGGGCGGCTTTAAGAGCCGTGTCAGTGACTCGTTCGGCGCGCGAAGTGATCAACCCGTCTCCAGCGATTAGGTCGTCACTTTTGCTCGCTCGTTTCACCGGATGAGCAAGTTTTGGTAGGTTCTAGCCGTCTGGCGGCGGCGAAAACCTGCTTGGAACCTGACGGCTCCTAAATCACCTATAAAAAAAAACCCCTTCTGCTCCTCATCCTCTCCTTCTCTTTACAACCATCACAGCTTCCAAGGGGATGATAACATGTAGATTCACATAAGCTCTGTGTAAAGATTTGAGTATTGACTCGATAGAACATTATTGACTGCTGATATACTTCACTACATCGTCATAATGTGCTGTGACCTGTCCACGGATCCGCACATAAATCATCTCCGGCAGGCTGGTCTACTCGTAAAATATTCTAGGCCTAGCGACCAAACTCACCCAGCAGGCCGGTCTATCGGGAGGAAATAATTATCTCCAGAGACCGGTCTGCGCAGCACACATATTTTGTGACTCGGCAGTCCGGTCGGATCGCATAGGTATCCAGTCGCTTGCCCCACGGGTCGGTCTATTTATAAAAAAACACAGTTTGCCCGGCAGGCTGGAACAAATACATTATGCGACCCCCAAGGGTTAGGGAAGCCGCTCGGTCAATGACCACTCGAGGCTTAGTGATTGAGCGTGATCAGACGATCGAGTTGAGAGTCAATAGCCACTCGAGGTTCATGTCTGGTGAGGTGAGTGGAGGGAGGTCCTCGTACAATCCGCCCCTTCTCAATATCCTCCTCCTTCTCTTCCTCTCATCCTTCTTCTTCTTCATCTTCACACACCACCACCATCATCGTCATCATCATCATAACTTCCTCACAACTTCCTCACGACCCAAACCACTCCTACGAATAACAACAATGGCCACCTCGACCGATACTACGGCCACCACTATCACTATCACCTCTAGCCCCATCCTCGAGATCGCAGCCCCCTCCAACACCGCCCTCCAGGCGGTCACCAGCTACCTTGAAATCCTCGCCTTCCTGAGCGAGCTGTGCGCTGACTTCGGGGCCGAGGAGGGGGACAACCACAGCGTCGAGCACAGCGACGCCGGCGAAGAGGAGGAGGAGGAGGAAGAGGCCAACGACGACCAGGCAGGGGGCAAGACCGAGGACAAGAATGATCAGGATTATGAAGGCGCGGAGGAGGGCCAGTAGTGGCTCGGGGGCCTGGGGACATTACTTTTTTCTTTTCTTATCATTGATAAACACACTTAAAAAACCTGATATCCGCTGTGATAATCGTTGACAGTGCTTCCGTATCTAATTGTAGTCTTTGACTTCCACGTCTTTGCTGCCAGGTGATTTAGGTACCTACAGATCTAATACCAGGTATCACGACGAGCTCAAAACGATCCGAAGTCATTGAGGATGCAGTTATTTGCGGTAATATTGTAAAGAAAGAGAAAACAAAAACATACACAGAAACAGAACTAAATCATGGCTCCCTAGCCCCTAGCACCTCGATCCATTGGAACTGGCGACGCAACATGTCCTGCATCCGCTTTTGGCAGTCGGGTTGCAGTAAGGCGCGGGTTCAGCGAAAGATGCTGTTTCCTCCATCCAGAGAACCGTCTTGCATGCCTAGAACGTCTTCTGCTGAGCCATATATGCCCAACACCCTCCCTCTCCATCTCCCCGTCGGCTTCGGCGGCGGCAGCAACAGCGCTGGCTTCTTCCTCCTCAGGGTTGTCACCCTCCACGTCCACCTCCATCTCCATCTCCACCCTCTCGCCCCCGCCACCGCCGCCGGCAGCAGCGTCGGTGGCGGTGATTGGGGTTTCTACCCCATTCGCATGCTCAGGGTCGTAACCCTCCACCCCCACCTCCTCGCCGCCAGGCCGCCAGCCGCGGCGGCCGCAGGGTCCACAACGACTGAGTGGAGCTTCGCCCTCCTCTATCGCCTCCCCCTTCGGCTATTTAGGGTCGTAACCCTCCCCCTCTATCTCCTTGCCGCAGCGCCGGCAGCAGCGCTGGGTTTGCATGTGGCTTAGGCTTCGGCGTCAGGTTCGTCCTCGATCTCGCTCTCGTAACGGACAGCAAGTCCATCCTCGATTTCGCTCTCGTAACAGACAGCAAGTCCATCCTCGATTTCGCTCTCGTAACAGACAGCAAGTCCATCCTCGATCTCGCTCTCGTAACGGACAGCAAGTTCATCCTCGATTTCGCTCTCGTAACGGACATCAAGTCCGCTCGGGAAGCCAGGGTTGTCAAGCCTGGAATCCGGAGTTGTCGAGGAAGTATGTCTGCTGCCTCGAGATGGGCATTGTTGCCGTTATTGCCCTTGCCACCGTGGCGGCGGGGGGTCGAGGCGACGGTGGTGTTGGGGGGCGAATTGGAGTTGGGATGGTGTGTTGGTGGAGACAATAGTCGGGACAGTTTCTGTTGTTCGGTGAATTGTGGTTGCAGGTTTGATTTGGTTTTATTTGCGACTTGTTGAGTGGTGGAACCGAATGGTTTTTATTTGCGACTTGTTGAGTGGTGGGGTTATCGTGCGGTTGATGGTGTTGGAGGAAGATGGAAGGAGGAGGAAGGAAGATGAAGATGGAGGAAGGTGGGATGAAGAAGGAGGGAGGAAAAAGGTAGGAGAAGGAAGGTAGGAAAGAGAGGGAAGGGGGACAGCACTAGCGGAGGAAAGAGCCTAGGCGGTGATTGGAATTGAATTGTCGTTGAGGGTTGACACGATATGCTGTATCACTCGTATCGAGTGATGGCGTGTGAGGTGTTGCCCGAGAATCACGCAGCAGAACATCTGACATATAGAAATAAACTGAAGATCTCTCGCATTCGATATATATCTGAGCCTGCAGGTATAGAGCGGTACTGTGTCAGTTTACAGCGGAATTCAAGCCCTGTCCTGTCCTGTTTTTTCTGCAGATCAGGGACGAGTAACCGTTTCCCCTGTATCAATCTTCACTGAGCCCCGCCGGACCCGGATGCTGTGCTGGCTCAAATACAAGCAATTCTGCTGGCCTTTCCTCCCTTATGTACGTACCTAGCTACACAGGTATTCGATCGAGATGTCGAACTTTTACTCAGATGAACTCACTGTTAGTCACTCGCATATGCGCATACGCATGCGCGTTCCGCTTCGTGCGTGCGCACAGTACTACTTGTTCATCGTTGCGAGCATTGCGTCTCCGGCTATGGAGGCGATAATCGTGATGCCTTTTTGACATGCGATTTTAAAGGCGGTCTCGGAAGTTTTTGTGTTGAGAGAGAGAGAGATCTTCCTGTTTTATTTCGCATGCAGCCTATATAGACTATGGTAAACCGTGGCACTACTTTCCTGCCCACTCTGGCCGGCCGGGGGTTAAGACCCCGTTACCAGTCAGCACGATGTGGCGCCGCTGCCTACCAAACAAATAACAAATGAAATCGCACTAAGAAAATATCACCGCCCATCCCCATCTCCTGCTTCCTCGCGCCGGCCGCAGACACAGTATAGTTTTTGTGTTGTTTTGTTTCTTTGTTGATCGTGATCAGACGGTCGAGTTGAGAGTTGAGAGTCAATAGCCATCCGAGGTTCACGGCTGGCGAGAGGCTCACGACTAGTGAGGTGAGTGGTATGGGGGTCATCGCTTTCATTTGTCAACCGGATCTTTCCGCCGCCACTTATACTTCTCCTTCTCCTTCTTCCCCTCCTCTCCTTCTTCCCCTCCTCTCCTTCTTCTTTATCTTCATCATCTTCACACACCACCACCACCACCTTAATCATCAACATCACAACTTCCTCACAAACCACTCCTACCAACAACAACTCAATTAGTCAACAATGACCACCTCGACCGAAACTACCGCTACCTCCAAATACAGCTTCACACTCCCGCCGATCCAGAGGGGTGGAATGGCTTACCATTAACAACCGCCCAAGGCGCATACCACCTGTCTCATTGGCCCATCTGTCCAGACAGATTGCTGAGAAGAAGTGGAAGGAAGCGAATGATTGGGCATACTCACGCATAACGAACCTTATATACAACGTCAAGTGCCGCAAGTGGTGGAAGAACCGACTTGACCCCGTTGCATCGAAAGCGAAGAAGATTACTGCATCCAGGTATTCCAGCTGAAAACTGGGCATGCCTTGATTGCACTATATCTGAAACGAATTGGAAGCCAACCGAACGACTGGTGCTGGTGGTGTTCTAAACCTGGATCCTGTCAGACACGCGAGCATCTTTTCAAAGCATGCACCGCATGGCGGAAGGAGCAGAAAATACTATGGAAAGCAGTCCGGCTAGAAACAAAGCGTGGACGAAATCGCTTCCGAATTGCAGATCTGTTCGCAGATGAGAGGTGCACAGCGGCAGTCCTGGAGTTTCTGGAGGTGACCGATGTAGAAAGAAAGGCCAGGGAGAATAATGGGAAAGGTCGAGAAGATGAGTCTACTTCTGAGGAGGGAGACGGACTGAAAAATTGGGAGGAGGAGGTGGGAGGAGTGGAGGAGGATGGTGGGGAGGAGTGGTAACCACCGATCAGGCCAGTAGGGCAATGGGGAGAGCCGCATAGCTAGTCTCGCGGACGGAATAGGGATGGTTGTGTAGTTGGTGTTCGCCGTAGTCTACAAAGGCTCATAGATGCAAAATAAAACTGATGACCCCCCCCCCCCCCCCCCCGCCGATCCAGATTCTACCTTACGGTGCCATCGCAACGTAACAACGCCAACAAAAAAAATGCACTGCCTACGGGCTCTGTGGGTTCCAAAGTCCAATGATCAACGTCGCACTCGCACACATCTGGCCCCCTTCAATCTGGCACTTGGGTACTACCAACAGTTCGCACAGAATGCATCTGTACCGACGAAGATGAAGATGAAGATGAAGATGCCCGTTACGAGTCGCCACTAGAACCTATGGCAAGCCGAAATCGAAAGCGGAGGTACGGAACTCCCCTCGAATCCACCGGCACTACTCTCCCACCGGAAGATGATCGTCGGTCAGATGATGTCCGCTGCGAGACGTGTCTACGGCCGATACTTCAACATTAGTGATAGTCACGCCGACATGCTTGTCCACAGGTTCTACCACGACTACCCGTCCTGTCATCCCATCCGCAAGAAGGTGCGTAAACATGTTCTTGAGTGGAAACGGAACGGCAATGCAAGATTATCCGCGCCATCCGAGATCATGTGTGCGCCGACTTCGGCGCCGCGGAGGAGGAAGAAGACCACAACGCTGAGTGCGCCGCCGGGGACGAAGAGGAGGTCGGCGGCGAGCACAGCGACGCCGGTGGAGAGGAGCAGGAGGAGGGGGTCGACAACAATGTCGAGGGTGAGGAGCAGGACGACGACCAGACCGAGGTCGACGACAAGGTCGACGTCGAGGAGGACAGCGACGACCCGACAGAGGTCGGGGATGAGGTCGACAACGACGACCAGATAGTGGTCGAGGAGGACAACAATGATTTCCACCAGGACAGTGGTTGAGGAGGACAACAGCGATGACGACCAGACAGTGGTCGAGGAGGACGACAATGATGTCCACCAGGGAGTGGTCGAGGAGGAGGTCGACGATGACCACGACGAAGGCGGAGTTAAGGAGGACGCGAAGTTCCAGGAGAAGGGCAGCAAGGAGGGCTTTTAGAGGCCTGGCCGCCCGGGGGGCGTTACGTTTTTTCTTTTTTCCTTTTTTTTTTTAGAACATTATCAATAAACACACTTAAAAGCACTTGATATCCGCTTGATCATCACCGTAGATAGTGTAGTGCTTCCGTATCTAATCTTCTGCCAGGTGAATCAGCTTGAGCCTAGGTATTCGATGGAGATGTTCAAACTTTTGCCCAGCGGGACTCGCCACTGGTCACTCGTGCATGGGCATGGGCATTTAGGTTTGGTGAGGTGTCACTCGTTGGCTCGCACTGTGGTACGGCATGTACTTCAGTTCTATTTGTACGCTGTTGAGCGTGGAGTAGAGTAGAACGGTGTGAAATCTTGCCCGTCCTCATCTTGAAAACCGTTCCATTCTTTAGCTACTGTTCAGTAGGTAGCATGTTCTTTCTCCAGGGCTCCGCCCCGTACATCTCCACACGCAGGCGGCAGGATAGGTACTAGTTGTATCCACCATCCAACGCGATGTCAGCGAGGCATCGGGTAATACCGCTTTGGTTCGCTTTTGACTCTACTGTAAACATCATACGTCCCTGCCTATAGGGGGTAGCGACAGTCATCCTCACGGTTCACCTCGGGCTTCGACGGTGTCGGCCATCGCTTTTCCTTCACACGGTCGACCACTCGACGTTTCGAGGAATGAATCATACGTACGAGTTATCTCGTGGAAACCAAGGTACGAACGGGGGAACATTACGTGGCCAAGAACACTTTTCGATGTGGTAGGTGCTCCAGCGGTCACGTATTTTGTTCGTTCTCAGTCGGTACTCCAGTACTTACCTTGTGCACCCCCGGCGAAAGCAGTCGGGGCATCTCGTCGAATCCCGATGCGTGACCCCGAACCTGAGCACACTACTCCACCAGGCACCAGGGCAGCCTGGGCCCTGGGCAGCCTGGGCATGGCAGGGCAGTTGTCGTTTGGTTATGCTTGGCCCCACCCCGCGTTTCCTGTTCCCCGTTCCCCGTTCCCCGTTTTCCTAGATCTCTAGGATAAACATGGCCGCGGGCCCTTGGGGGCGCTAAAAAAGCGGCATTCCTCCAGATCTCCAGAACTCCCGGCGGATCGGGAGCGGATGCCTCAGACCGGGGCTGCATACATAAATGGGTAAGTGTGCGCACGGCAGGGCACATGATCCGGGACAACACCAGCAGCAGGCTTCTTCAGGCGTCGACACCTGCAGAAATGCAAGCAAGCACGCAGGCAAGGGAAGAGACGGTTTCGATGAACAAGGGCCCGCCGAAGCGCGTTCCCGTCTCACTGAAGCCACATTCCACGTGTGTGTGTCGTTGTGTAAATTGTGCTAGCACACCGCGTGGACCTCCTGAAGGCTGACGCTGGGTGAGCAGAGGCGCACTTTTCAAGTTTCGGGGCCCTGCCTGCCTGCGCCACTTCACCGCAATGGGGAGGATTCGGGGATCTGCCCAGTGCCAGTCAAGTCAGTCCTTTGCCCAGTCAGTTCTTTGCCGGCCAGCCACCAATCCTGCACCCACCAAGCGTCATGCAGGCGACAGTTGTTCAATTCCCACGCTCCAACGCCCCACACACTTTTCCTAATTGCCGAGCCATCATGCCTGCTCTTCTGCTTGCGTTGCCAACGTGTCTTGCTCAGGGTTTTCCGGGAGGTGGAGAAAAGGGTTGCTGGGTGGCTGGCTGAGTGGATGGCAGAGTGGACGAGAGTGGTGGAGAGAGAGAGAACTTTCTGTCGCACAGAGCGAATGGTCTGTAACTATAGTAATAGTACGGTACTCTATCTACTGTACGCAGAGTTGTCTTTGTCTTCGCCTTCATCATCATCGTCCTCCTTCCCTCCAGCTCCGCTCCTCCTCCTGCGTCCTCATCGACAATCGAATCACCAACCCCGCATATCCCGACCGTACTCCACTCTTCGCCGTAACCGAACCTGTCGACAGTGGCCACGACATCTTCGCTTCCGCGCCGCGCACACGCCAACCTCGACTGGCTGCTTTTCGTCCATCGCACCAACTCTACATACTGGTAATTACCCCCCCACCCCCCGGCCGCCCGCCGCCGCCGCTCCCTTTCATCTCGAAAAAGTTCGACGACTACCGACGACCGACAACGAAACGAAACGAAATTCCGTGAGTGAGCCGTAACTGACATTCGGCGCAGTCCTCCGCCTGCCCGGTGCCTGGATGAGGGGTTTTTCGAGCTTCGAACACGCTTCGGTCCCATCCCTCTGCTTCGCCACATACCCTTTCATCACCGGATCCTGGGTGTGCGCGGTACAGGTGTAGATTGTCCGGCCCTGTAAGTGTGCATTTCTTCAGTCTTCCCTTTCTACAGCCATCAGCACCTCCACCTCCACCAACTCCACCGCCATTCCCCAAGAAAGAACTCCTGTGCCTTTCGAAAGTAGCACATGCTCACCTGCTGCCTGTGTCCACTTCTTTCACTCGCTTGTTCCCGCCGCTAATTGCATCGCGCTGTGCTCATGACAAACCAGTCCTTGCCAACCCTCCAGCCGTCCCGTCCACCACACTCCACGCGAGACCCCTTTTCGTCCCCACCGAGCCAAGCACGCCGCTTTTTGCCGTTCAGGGGCCCAGCACTTCTACTACCGCAGCTATGTCTTCCGAAGGGGCGCCTCCTCACCCCCGAATCTCCGCAACTCCACAAGGCTTCAACACCTCCATGTTCGACGACCCTCCCGTACTGTCACCGAGCAAACTCCGTTCACGAACACGATCCCGATCGGCCGAGCCAGCGTCGCGAACAGCCCGTCTGACGAACCTCGTCAATGCCCCGTTTCTGCCGCAGCAGCAGCCACCACCATCACCACCCGACACAGCCACCAACGAACAGAACGGTAACGGCGTAATATACCGGAGAGATCTTCCGCCGCCTCCTCCTCCTACTCGAGCCCCTCCCGCCGTCCCTACTACTACCGGCGCCGCAGAACAGAAGATACTCCCCAGGCTTGCTGATAGAGTCATGGATGTGAAGCGGGGTTCATTCGGCGCTAGACCTCTGCCGCCAGCAGTTCAGCGGTTCTACTCCTCGGAAACTCCAGTTCCGTCGACGATGTCGGGCTTGCTACAGCAACATCAGCATCGAGACGTCGATGGTTTCCGCGCCACCCCACCCATCGCCGGTATGCCTCCATCGCCGCCCCTGACGCGCAGGTCAACAACATCCCCGCGCTCGCCCGCCATCGGAAGGAGCATTTCCTTACACAAACCGATGTCGCCACCACCGCCATCGGTTCAAGAACAGACGTCGGAAGCGGGTACCACAATACACCATCTACCGCGGGCCGCATCGACAGCCGGCTCCAACGTCTCCTTCAAGGATATCGTGCGAACGGGGAAGAATCTCGGACAGAACCCCATCGACTACCTCATCCCAAATGGCTCCCTCCCCGCACCTGTTTCCCCATACTTTCACCCTGTGCATGATCCCTGCTCGCTAGACGTTCCGCCAAGCATGCGTGGCGACCACCCCGACGCTAATCCGGTAGCGGGCATTTTCGGCAACCTCAACTATCTGCTGGATTCGTATCTAACGATTCTCGCGTCGGGAGGATCGTTGGCCGTAGGCACGGGGTATCAATCCGTGGCGAGGAAGTTGCTGGATCGGGTGGAGACCCTGTTCGCGAGGGATCTCGATGTGGATGGAATTGGCTGGGCGGATGTGTTGGAGTTTTTGCGCGGGAGCAGACAGAAGCCATTCTTGTGTGTGCTGCCTGTCCGCGGGATTCTCGCGCGGAGGGACGAGGAGTCGGTTGTCGGCGGCGGCGGTCTAGATGTACCATGCACCACCCGTGAACTGGCGGAATCCGTCGTAGCTGGCGTCAAGACCAAACCGGCCATGAGCAAGGTGGAGCAGTGGCTTGAAGAGGTGGAGCAGGTGTTGAAAGCATCTGGTGACGACAGCTGTGGCGGGAAGAGTCTCACTAAAGAAGACGAAGACGAGGAGGACCACATGGTATGCGAGATTATCGAGGGAATCCTCAAAAACAACACCGAGGAGAACCAAATCAAGAACTTCCATCGCTTCCTCGACGACCGCGTTTTGATCGCGGATATGCAGCGCGCGCTGATCAGACTCTACGACGACCACCCCGCCGACTCCATCACGCCTCCGATCGTGGCGCTCTACATGCTCCTGCACCCCGAGCTGCACCCCATCCTCCGCGCCCTCTCCAACGTCGCCGAGTCCGAGCTCGAACTCATCAACTCCGGCAAGTTCGACAGTTTCCTCGACGGCGCAACCAATGTTGTCGCGCGCGACGAGGAGGAAGAACTCCACCTCATCACCCGACTTGACAAGCGCCTCTTCAACGTCCTCGAGGGTCTCGAAGACGAGATCGAAGAGCTGCACACGCGCTCGCTCGTCGTGCGGCGCGCGCTCAAGTCGCGCAAGGAGCAGATCGTGCGCAAGCAGCCGTCGATGGCGTCGATCATCAGCCGGTCGGCGTCGCCCGTCGGCTCGCGCCGGCGCTCCAGCGCGCAGGGGAAACCCGCCGCCGCTGCCGACGACGACCTGCAGAGCGTGGAGGAGAAGCGCCGGCTCGACGAGGAGGAGTGGTCGCCCAACGTGCCGACGCTGCACGTGCCCATCACCCCCGACGACAGCGCGAGCAACATCACGTTCAACCGTCGCCGGAGACAGGAGCGCACCGAGAAGATCAACCGCAACGATGACGAGCGCCGTAGGGAGAAGGAGCGGAAGCGCGAGAAGAAGGCGAAGAAGGAGGATGATAAGGCGCCGGGACTCACCCCCCGCTTCTCGCTAAAGGAGTTTGCGATTAAGTCGGGCGAGTTCGGACCTGCGACTGTCGTCGACGAGGAGAAGAGTGAGGGCGAGACGTTGCTCAGTAATAAGCGCAAGAAGCGGAAGGGAGAGCGCGGGGAGCGCGGAGAACGTGGAGAGCGCAGGGAGCGCAGCAGAAACCGCTGCGGCGAGTGTGGTAGCTGCGTCGGCGAGGGGGAGGAGGGCGAGAAGAGGAAACATCGCGAGCATCGCGAGCATAGGGATAGGGGGGATAAGGATCGGGACGGCGAGAAGGAGGGGAAGGACGGGAAAGAGGGGAAGAAGCGACACAGCAAGGAGAAGAAGGAGGAGCGCGCGGCCGAGAAGGAGAAGGAGAAGGAGAAGGAGAAGGAGAAGGAGAAGGAGAAGGAGAAGGACGAGGCCAAGGATGCAGAGAACGGCAAGGACAAGGAGAAGAAGGGAGAGACCGATAGCCTCAAATCCCGTGGTCGTCCCAGTTGACAATTGTGGAAACGATTGGTGCCCGAAGGTGGAGGTGGAGGCGGAAGCGCGGCGGGCGCGGCGGGAGGAGCAGCGGGCGCGGGTGCCATCGAGGAAATTATTGAGCCTAGCGAGGAGGAGGAGGCGCAGTTGCTCCAGCAGCAGCAACAACAACAGCAGCAGGAGGAGGCAGACGAGGAGGAGCGAATCAACCAGTCCACACTGGGCGTCGACGACGACATCAGTAGTGTCTGTACCGATGTATTACTAAATCTGCGGTAGGGATACGTAGCACGAGAGGGGGGGGGTGGAGGGAGGGGAGAGCATGACGGACGGACGGACGGCCTGTGGCGTTTTTTTCTTTTTCTTTTCGATATATATATCATGGAGTTTTATGTGTTTTTATTTTGTGGCATTATCAGCTTTGGTGGGGGAGTAGGGACTGGGGGTGGGGTGTGCACTGGGGGTTGCGAATGGACGAATGGTATCGGTATCGTTCGGTTTTATGGTACTCTACTGGTGAATAGTGAATGGTCGGTACGCATGTGACCATGTGTAGACCATCCGTATCATAATCTTCGAGGTATGCTGTCATAGTTGCCCAGTCGCCATCCAGAAGTCCTGTCGTGTTTTCGCTGCAGATCGGGGACGAGTGGCTGTTTCCTGTGATTTGGTGTAGGCATGTACAGTACGGCAATGTATCGCTACCTCGAGCCGCAGTCGGCGAGTGCATGGTTACTAGGGATAGTAGAAGCTGGGCACGAGCCTACAACTATCTGTTCAATAACATCGCAGCGTCACGACGAGCTCAAAACCATACGAAGCCATTAAGAATGCAATTATTTGCGGTAATATTGAGAAAAAAAGAGAAACCAAAACCAAAACCAAAACCAAAACCAAAACCAAAACCAGCTCCCTTCCGCCTTTCCTCCACTCCGCAGCCGCCCGTGATGAGGAACTTGTACTCGTTTTTTTCTTCAGCGGGCGCCTCCTTGGCCTCACCCCCTCCCTCCTCCTCATCCATCTGTTGGATAACGTTCTTCCAGTCTCTATCCTTCTGGGAGATCTCATCTCCATCCTCGCCGCCGCCGCCGCCGGCAGCGTTGGGTGCTTTCTCATCAGGGTTATCACCCTCCACCTCCACCTCCATCTCCTCGCCCCGGGCGGCCGCAGCGGCGGGTCCAGCTTCAGCCTCCGGGTAATTGGCGGCTTCGTCCGCAACCGCGAAACGAAAACGGACAGCAAGTCCGTCCGCGAATCCGGAGTCTTCAGTCGTGGAAGCCAGAGTCGTTGAGGAAGTATAGCGGCCTCGATGTGCGCACTGCCGGCGGTGGTGGCCGCTGGGGCCGAGCCGGCGACGGCAGCAGCGTCGGTGGTCGTGATTGTGTTCTCCTCCTAGTTCGCATGCTTTTCTGCATACTCAGGGTCGTCACCCTTACTGCCGTTGGGTGAATTTTAGTGGTGGAACCTAATGGTTTTTAGTTATAACTTGTTTCGTGGTGGTGTTATTGTTTGGTTGGTGTTGTAGAAGGAAGGTGAGAGGAAGGTGGGAGGAAGAAGGTGGGATGAAGAAGGTGGGATGAAGAAGGTGGGAGGAAGAAGGTGGGATGAAGGTGGGATGAAGAGGATGGGATGAAGAATATTAGAGGGAAAGAGAGTGAAGGGGGAGTAGAGCACTAGCGAGGAAAGTATCACGCAGAGCTTAGGGCTAAATCGCTGTTGAGGGTTGACGCATCATGCTTTGTCACTCGTCTCAAGTGATGCCATGACGCACTGCCGCCGCCCGGCTCATGACTGAGTTGCGACGGCACGAACTCCGTACATAATCTCTAGTACGGAGAAATCAGAAGCTTTGCTTCTATGGGAACTCATGTTGCGCACGGTATCTCTGCCTCGAGCGGCGAGCTGCGGCTGGCAATTCCACGACTTAGTAGAGCTGGCTACGAGCATACGAGTCTACAGCTACCTTGTACTGTCACGACGAGCTCGAAAGTATTTGAAGTCATTGAGGATGCAGTTATTTGCGGTAATATTGAGAAGCAAAAGAAAGAACAAAAAACTAAAACTAAAACTAAAACAAAAAACAAAAAACAGCTCCCTTTCGCCTCTGCTCCGCGCCGCAGCCGCCCGTGATAATTTGTACTCATTTTTTCCTTCAGCGGGCTCGTCCTTGGCGACAGCCTCCTTGGCCTCACCCTCCCCGGCCTCCTCTTCCATCTGCTCCATAACGTTCTTCCAGTCTCTGTCCTTCTGGCAGATTTCATCTCCCTCACCTCCCTCGTCTCCCTGCTCGCCGGCGGCGGCGGCAGCGTTAGGTGCTTTCTCCTCAGGGTCGCAATCATCTCCCCGCCGGCAGCCGCGGCGGCAGCGCCAAGTCTGGCTTCCGCCTCATGGCCATTGCCGACTTCGTCCGCAACCGCGAAGTGGAAACGGACAGCAAATCCGTCTGTGAACCCGGAGTCTTCAATCCTAGAATCTCGAGTTGTCGAGTTGTCGAGCAAGTATTGCGGCCTCGATACGCGCGCCGCCGGCGGTGGCGGTGTTGGTGGTCGAATTGGAGGTGGGGATGATGATCTTGGTGGCGGCCATAGTATCCGTCGCTGGGTGGATTGTAGTGGTGGAACCGAATGGTTTGTAATTGAGTGAATTGTGTGGTGAAATCGAATGGTTTTTAGTTGTGACTCTATTGAGTGGTGGGGTTATTGATCATCCGATGATGGTGGGGAAGGAAGAAGGTGGGAGGAATAATGTTGGAGGGAGAGAGAGGGAAGGGGCAGGACAGCGCTAGCGGGGAAATAACCCATGCGTGGTCACTCGTACCCAGTGATGTCACTCGTACCCAGTGATGTCACTCGTACCCAGTGATGTCACTCGTACCCAGTGATGTCCTGTGAAGCGCTGTCCGAAATCCTCGGAGCAGCGGGTAGTTGCGACAGCTGAGATTCCGTGCAAAGGAGCCACCATTTACGGAGAAATCAAAAGTTCCACTTCTACGGAAATACATGGTTCGTATCTACGGTGTTGCTGCAGCCGGCAAGTGGTGTTCTACATAGTCCAGCTCGTCCGTTTCTCACCCCTGACGAGACTAGACTGTAGATCTAGCTTCGAGGCTACGGGAACCATCTGGTACAATGTACACAGCTGTCACGGCCGGCGCGACCAGCTACAAAGTTCGAAGGATACAAAAAAACGGCATTGAGCATGCAATTATTTTCCGATAATATTGAAAGAATGAAAGAAAAACAAAAACGATAAAAAAACAAACAGCTCCCTCAGCCCTTGCTCCGCAGTCGCCCGTAACGAACTTGTATTCATTCTTTCCTTCAGCGGGCTCCTACTTGGCGACACCTTCCTTGGCCTGACCCTCGTCGGCCTCACGCCAACTTTCCTCCTCATCCATCTGTTCCAACACGTTCTTCCAGTCTCTGTCCTTCTGGGAGATCTCATCTCCATCACCTCCCTCATCTCCCTCCTCACAGGCGGCAGCGGCAGCGTCGGCGTCTTCCTAATCAGGGTCGTAACCCTCATCTCCCCGCCGGCAGCCGCGGCAGCAGCAGCGTGTATGATGACTATATTAAACCACGGGGTCATTGCCGACTTTGTCCGCAACCGCGAAACGGAAACGGACAGCAAATCCGTCTGTGAACCCGGAGTCTTCAATCCTAGAATCTCGAGTTGTCGAGTTGTCGAGCAAGTATTGCGGCCTCGATACGCGCGCCGCCGGCGGTGGTGGCCGCTGGAGCCGAGCCGGCGACGGCAGTAGCGTGACTAGAGGCCATCACGGCCTCCTCCTCCTACATCTCATGCTCTTCCCGCATACGCAGGGTCATAATCCTCCGCCTCGCCGGCGGCCGCGGCGGCCGCGGCGGTCAACAACAATGGAGTGCAACTTCATCATCCTCTATCGCCTCCCCCTTCGGCTGTTTAGGGTTGTCACCCTCTATTTCCTCGCTGGCGCCAGCGGTGGCAGCAGCGCAGGGTTCGTCCTCGATCTCCCTCTCGCTCTCGAAACAGACAGCAAGTCCGTCAGCGAAGCCGGAGTCTTCAGTCCTGGAAGCCAGACCCCAAATCCTCGGATTCTAGCTGAGTTCTTCCAATGACTACCCATAGTAATGGTTGATGATAACCAACAGCGATACTAATGTATTCTCATATGCCTAAGGTATGTTGCCAGCTTGCTGGGTGTAACAGCACGAGTTGGTTGGCTGGGACACCTTGTCGGATCAACTCAGCCAAAAGAGATGTTGCTTTATGGCTAGCAAAGATCTGAGGATCGAGCGGTGCAGCAGTGGCAGAATTGGCTGAAGTTGGTCCTGCGAGGTTAGAGGATGATGGTGGAGCAGCGGGAATAGCGGGAATAGCTGGGTGTGACGATGGAGTGACAGACAGTGTGCGGTGAGTGGAAAGGACGCGTTTTGGGCTGGCTGGTCTTGATGCTGGTTGGGCCTGATTGGTAGGTGGAAAGATAGGAAGAGGTGTAGCGCAGTCAGGACAGAACCGAGACTGTAAAGACGCATGGTAGGGAGGAGAGCAATAGGAAGCCAAACAGGTAGACATCTTGGATTATCGATATTGTGTATGGTAATATAGGTATGTGTTGAGATGAAAGTCACTACGTGGGCGAGAAGCCCCATTTATAAAGGTCCATTTCTCCTCCATTATCTTCATTCTAACTTTGCACCTTCATCCTATACCAACTCGCCAGCCTACCCACCGGCCCTACCAACTTCAATCTCCATACTTTTCTTTTTCCATTTGCGCTTATCCGGAACCATATATGCCTCCACTACCACATTCCTGCGGCCTCGTAGTCCAACCCAACATCTCGCTCGGCGGTGGGAGTGCCCTGCCACAGTGCTGAGGCCTCGTACTCCACCCCCAAACTCTCGCCCAGTGGCGGGAGTGCCCTGCCACAGTCATGCGACCTCCACTCGCTCGGGGGCGGGATTGCCCAGCCCCGCCAGCCCAGGGCCAGCCCATTGTTTTATTTTTCTTTTCTTCTTCTTTCTTTTCCTTCCGGGATATGTATGTAAAAGTACATATGACATGTGCTGGCCTGGCTCCACCACCACCACCACCACCACCACCACCACCACCACCACCACCACCACCACCATCATCACCTAAACCTAGCCCCCCTCGTCCTGCAGAAACGAAACGAGAAGAAAGGACGTGAGTGTGAGTCCGAGTCTGAGTATGTGCTGTGCTGTGATTATGTGATGCCAGGACCACGTCGACAGTCGAGTCGACGATCGATGCTTGCTTTTTGCCTTTACGTTTCGGCGCATATCGCATATCGCATAGCCATCGCAGTGCCAGCGCACCATGGGACCATAGGCCTCCGTCTTGTCCCGAGCCCTTCTGCATGCATGCATCGTGGGTAGGTATGTCACGTTTCACATGGTGATAGCGATGGTGGTGGTGATAGTGATAGTGATGGGGCTTTAGTTATGGCCAGCGATGACGACGCCCTGGGGGACGCGGCGGCGGCGGCTAGCTGGCCGCTGGACACGCGCCGCGCGCTCGAGGTTGCCTTGGATCTTGGACCTTGGAGGGGGAACCTGGAGTGTCTGTCTATAGTACCTGCCTAAGTACCTACCAGTCGTACTAGATAGGTAGAGCACCTAGGGACCGAGAAAAACGATTACATCCCCCGCCCCCCCGCCCCCCCGGCGAGCAAACATACAGAGCACAGTTTTCTTCTTTGGGCCTCGAGTGCTTGTGGAACCTGTGCTCTTCCCTGCCGCTTTCGCGTTGCGGATCGCGTAGGGCCTGGCTGATCCACTCAACAGTAAAAAAAAGGGATTGAACCAAGCTGCCGGAAAGTTGGGAAATACGTCCTGGCTAGAGAGCAGGGGCAGGGGCAGGAGCTGTAGCTGTAGCTGTCACATATCTGCCATTTTGCATTGCATTGCTTGGCAATGATTGGGGTGAAAGAGAGAAAGAGAGAGAGCTGCTGGCTATGGTAGACGGTGGGGCGCACAGCCCGCCTTACTTACTTGCTATACGAAACGGTAGAGGATTAGGGGTTTGGCATTCGACATGCGGTATGCGGTATGCGGTATGCGGTATGCGTAAGCCCGAGCTCGAGCGGTGCGTGTCGGTCGACCCCCATCCAGTTGATCGAGGATGCCGGAGTCGACCCCCATCCAGTTGATCGAGGATGCCGGACTGGGAAAGGGGCGCTCGCTCAGGTGACTGCGCCGCGTGCACATGAGCACGCGGCGAGCGAACCATTGCGCCAGCGATGCCGGTATGCACCCCCGTGTGTGGTTCGTCAGTTCCTCAGGTACGAAGCCGAAGCCGAGTTATTCGCTTCTTATTTTTCTTCTCTTTTTTTCTTTTCGTTTCTCTTCTTTCCTTTCCTTTTTTCCCTTTTCTTTTTCCGCCAGACTTCCAGCTGTGTGGAGTAGGTAAGGTGGGCAGGGCAATCGCCGGGGGAAACACAACCGCCCCGTCCCCTCGACATGGCAATCGCCGGGGAAACACAACCGCCCCGTCCCCTCGACATGGCAGTTTTCTCCAGCTGACTCGTCTAGCTTCTAGGAACACACACGAACGCATTTGGTCGGCACATCCGTCACGTTGGAAATTTGAGCATCCGACCATGGTATGAAAGTCGGTCCTTACTTGGGTATTGTCGACAATCTAGTACAAGGATGGAACTCAAAGGTTTTATCCGACGTCCTCCCCACGAATTCTGTCATCGTTCAGACAACTGCTGCTGCTTCTTATTGTTCCTCTTCCTCTTTTTATTCTTCTTCTGGTCCTTCCTTCAAATTCCTCACACGCCGTTCGTTCGCTCATTCGTTCTCCCGTTCACCTTCCAGTCAATATACCTGGTATCGCCAGCCATCGACGCAGCATCCGTCAACACACTCCCTTCGTTACGTGCCTTATACCGCCCACTCTCCTCCCGTCCACGGAATCTACAGCTATTTGTCCCACTTCCCCGAGTTCGAACCATGCAGCGAAACCGAGAAGACGAAGACGCTATGCGCTGGGGCCGGCAGCAGCAGCAGCAGCAACAACACCAGCAACACCAGCAACACCAGCACTTGGGATCCGGCGGTCATCACCGCTACTACGGCGACGAAGACTACTTCAAACGGTTTGGAGGCTACCTAACGGGCGGCGACCACGGTCACCACGCCATGGCGATGGCAACTCAACAATATGAATATCAGCTCATACCGTATGCGCTCCAGGTTCCCATGGAGCGCTTCCTCAACTCAAACACCTCTGCCGACGACATCTCGGGAAGCTACCAGCAACTGCAACTAGAAATTCAGCCGCACACACTACCACAACCTCAACTTCCCTTCCGGGCGCAACCGCCGATGCCGCTGCCGACGCCGACGTGGGACGTTGACCATAGCGTCTTGCCTAACCGATCGCCAGTCCAACCGACCCCTTCCTTCCCGCCATACCGCTTGACACGGCCGACCTCGCAGCCAAGCGAAGCCGACTCCGAGAGCCAATTCACCCGGTCCGATCGTGATTCGTTGCCGCACACGCCGATCGACTGCGACAGCGGTCAATACCGTGACGGATGGAGAAACAGGCCGAGCGCTATGCCCGCGTGCGACCCATCGCTCCTCGACGCTTACAACTCGACGCCGAGCACTTCGCCGTCCATCGCGAACCATCCCTATGCTTCTTCTCAGGCTCACGGGAAGAAACAAAACTCTTCGCAGTCGCTGTAAAAACCCTCCCCCTCCAAAGAAAAAAAAATACACTCCACCTCCCTCTCAACATCAACTAACATCCGCACCAGCCGAAGCTCCGAAACCAAAAACTTCGCCTGCCCCGAGTGTTCCAAAACCTTTACGCATTCCAATCATTTCAAGTGAGTCCCCCTCCGCCCTCCCTGCGCCTCTTTTTTTTTCTTTCTCTTTCCGAATCTCGGCCTACCATCCCGAGCTCGAGCTAACTGTTGCAGGAAACACCAAGACTCACACAAGGGTAAATCGAAGCCCTGCTTCCTGTGTTCGGGGGTTTACACACGGCGCGACACACTGCTCCGACACCTCAAGGACCAGCACCACCTCGATAAATGCACCGCCAACGAACAGATCGATCTGATGGAGCGGAGGGCGTAACTGCTACCTATGTGCCTAGTAACCAGTGAGGAACGAGGCCTTTCGCAGCCAACGACAGCGCTTCGACGGGACACGACGGGACACGCGACGATCAGACGATGACGATGCGAATGAGTGATGTGATGCGCTTCGGAGCTTTGCGATGGTTTTTATATATGTTCAACGAAACTATGGTTTTTGGACACCTTCCTCTAATCCATATGGATGTTTGTTTGGTTCGGCACTGGGTCTCTGGGATTTTGTCTTTATTTTGTCTTTCCTTTTCTTTTATTTTGCTTTTCTCGCACGCACACTCCACACCATACCCCATACCCCTCTCTGTTTCCACCTGTCATGTTTTCCGGGCGTGTACTGTACAAGTAGAGTAGATACACCATGGCGTTATTGCCTCCTTTGCTTCCTTTGCTTCCTTGGTTTCTTTCTTTCTATTTTTTCACTATTTTTTCAGTTTTGTTTTCCGCGACGACTCACGAGACGTCCGGCGCTCTCTCGTCGTCGCACCCTGTCCGGACTCCAGAGGTGTCGCCTGCTGCAGAGCGTTGAATTATGGGGCACCATGAAGAAGGCGGGGGGGACGCATATAGGCTACATACAGCACGATTGAATTTGAATGCATGTACGATAGAGTGCGTGTTACGGTAGTATGTAATATGTAGTTGACGGATAGCTATGATATGGGATGATATGATATGATATGATATGATATGATATTGGGATTGTATTTATGTATGTAGAATATCGCCTACAGGCAAGGAATTGAATTGAAGAGCATCGCTTCTCACTCACTCTTGCGTCGTCGTGACGGTTGGGGAGTCAGGACTCGTGACTGGATGGAAGGAACTGTTACATATCCAGAATGTGGCGACCGTACGAACCGACATACCTAGAGCACCAACTATAACTGGTAGCGTCTGTACTCTACTGCATAGTAGTTATGCGTACAGTAAGCGGGCCAGGGGGTGGGATAAACGGTTTGCGGGTACTGGAGTCCAGTCAGTCAAACACAGTAATCGCTGCGAGGACATCAACAGTGAATCGCAAGTAAGAGAGACAGCGAAGTACCAAGTTTAGGTAGTACTCAATCATAGATGGTAGTAGTAGCTACCGCATATTCGGACCCCACGGTAGTACCGTTTATTCCTAATCTACTGGTGGCCCGCACGCAAGTCTCAGTCGGCGGGTGGCCCATCGCCCAGCCTGTGATTACTATACACACTCCCCGCCATTGACTACCCTTCTCCCACTCGCACATCGGACAACCATCCATAGTTAGCGACTCCGCCAGTCGGGGGTAGGCACCATACATAGCAGCTCGGGCTCCACAAAGCCCGACGCGAACCCGCCATACCCTACCTCCTGTCATTCCGATCCGAGACACGGGCGCTTCCACCTCGCTGCGATACCGACGAGGAGTGCGCACTGCTCGTTATCTACGTCAGCTGGTACCTAGAGTACCCGGTCTGACAGGGACATGCCACGGTACGTATGTCCATATCTACATACATAGCAGCCGCGCTGACCGTGGAAAAAATCCTAACAAGTAGGGATACACAGGTACACCGGCGAACACGGTGGGGATGTCGAGACTCCACCGTCCTGCAAGAATTGCGACCGCGACCGCGACCCCGGCACTGCCGCTGCTTCAACTGCTGTAGTGCAGTGCAGTGGTTGATTCTGTTCCTTCTTCTGGCGCATTCTTGGCTGGAAGAATGCCGGTGCACAGCCGTGCTCGCTGTGGCTGTGCGTATCTAGTTTGTGGTTATTTGGATTTTTTCTTGTTGGGTTTTTTCATGCGGTGGTGTTGGGTACCGTATCGGGTGATGATACCAAGCAAATACCTGCGTGCTTCGTTTCGGAGCCCGGTTGATTCCACTGAGCCCTCGTTGGCAGCGGGATTCAGCCGCTGGCGAGGATGAAACCCTGATGCGCCCCCCAACACAAAAACCAAAAAAATGAGAGTTGGTACATACTCGGAAGGACCACCGCCGGATCGACTAGTTGTATTTTCAGTGTTCTGTGCTTCGGGAGCGGTCGGATGAGCTTCACAGCAGTGCAGCGCGTGCGCGGCGTTTCTCCTTGGTTGGTCGTTCGTCGGCCTTCACCAACGATTCGCTTTCCGTCACTCGTCATGTGCGGTTTGGTGGTTGAAGTTTTATCGCGTCTCCTGGCTAGGTCGCGTGTAATGTGGCCAAGCGAACAAGCGCCTCAACCGCCGTAGCTCCGCTGTCTTAGTTTCTACGCGTCCATCAATGAGTGTTGACGTTCCATTCTAGTTGCTCAAGTGTATCACTAGCCACTTGCGACTCTCGAGTTGCAACGGAACTATGGTAATCCACGCAATTCGAAGAACCCCCTTTCATCCTTCAGCTCTCTTGCTGTTCATCCTCCTTCTCCTTCTTCTCCTTCTTATTCACCACCATCAACCGCTATCTCAAAGATGGCCGCTGCTACCCCCACTACCACTATCACCCCCGCCGCCTCGACTCCCGCGGCCACAACCACCGGCAATAGCGCCATCCTGGAGGCTGTGAGCAGTTTCCTTGACATCTTGGCTTTCTTGGCCGAGCTGACGGCTAGCTTCGACGACGGCGATGACAACGTCATAATCGTCGGGGACAAGCCGGAGGATAATTCCGTGCACGCGAACGAGGAGGCAATGGAGGCGGAGGACGGTGATGTGTCGATCCGCCCAACATTTTGCCGCCACAGACTGTAGTCGATGTCAGTCGACGGCAGTCAAGTATTTGGGCACTCCTGCAATTAGCGCAGAGCCTGAACGAGGTTTCACTGGGGCTAAAATCACATACTCTCATCGCCGCGGCAGCATGGGTGATGGCGCACTGGAGGCACTGGAATGTCTCAAAAGCTGACAATGGGATGGGCTTGTATTTGCAACAAAGGGCGGTATCAAGGAGATGGGACTATACTAGATGTACTATACGAGTGGGATTTACAAGACGTATAGAAAAAAGTTCACCGGCGCTTTGTGCATGCATGACCAGGAGGAAAGACCTTTGCTGTCACAGACTCACAGCAAAGGAAGAAAACCTCCGCGTATAACCTGGGTGGATAGTAGGCCAAGCTATACGCGTATAACTCGGAAGTTATACTTTCTTTTTTTTTCTTCCTCATCAACACGAAACTGCCTGTCACCTGGTTTCGGAGAGGCCATCCACCGAGAGCAAGTCGGCTCTCCCCCAACTTGGACTCCCGGAGGAAGGGGGAAAGAACTTTGCTGGCAGCAGAAGAGAAAACCCCGATCTTTTCCGCTCAGCCTCGAGGGTCGGATCCGTCTACTGTCTCTGCAACAGTCTACTTTGTAGACTGGTTGCACGGATCCATCAGTTCCTCGCTACTACGGCTGAGCAGGATAGCTCTGTAAGGTTATCCTGGAAGTACAAAGTGGGGGGGAGAGCACGTACCTCAAAGAGTAAGCCTTGGCGCCGATATCGGACCGTGAAAACCAATCATAAGTCAGTAGCATGAATCAACAAGTAGGCAATATCCTCGTTAGCGGTTGGCGTAACAGTCTTATCATCTGTACGGGGGTATGAATATTCGGAATTTGGAATGGTGTCTGGCAGCGTAGCAAGACTCTCGTCGAGATTTTGAAAAGAAGGAGATGAGGTTAATGGTTGGGTAATGATTGTTCTGCATAGGGATTGGTTCTGGATGTGTGGAGGAGAGATGGAGGAAGAGTTGGGAGGAAAGATGGGATTTCATAGGTGAACTAGGTACTAGCGCCCCTAGTGTGGGACACATCCTTGACTACCGTTTTTGACCGGTATTTTGATCCTCGGACGTGGACCTTGGACGGAATTCTTTCCAAGGTGGTATGTCTGGTTGTCGGCTAGGGATCTGCGAGGTTAGGCTCGCTTGTTTTGCACTGACATTTCTGCTTTGTTTTGATCGTGCTTGCTCGTAGCAACGGTGTTTTTGCCGGTCTTTTGAGCTGGTGTCGCCGCGTCGGTCTGGTAGGGTCTGTCTGGGGTCCTCTCGGCTCTCCCTATTTAAACCAGGGTGGTCCCCACTTTTTGTTTCTTCCTTTCTTCTCTTTCTTTCCTTGCCTGCTTCCTGATTTGTTACAGTCGTTAGTTGGTCAACTTTACTATGTGTCTGGACTCGTGTGTCCGCTCTTTCTAGTGTGTCTTTCTGCTTGCCACCTGGACTCCACAGGTGGTCCTTTTAGTGTGTGTCCTTGGACTGCTGTGTCCCCTTCTCGTTGCATCTCTGGCACGCTTGCCGGAACCACTACTTTTCTGTCCTTCACGTTCGACCCTCTTGCCCCTCACTCTACCCCCCTTCTACAATCCCGTCCTTCTTCTGTCTACCTGGGGCCGTTCTCAACCTAGTGTCTCACTAGGCGTGACTCCAAAGCTAGCTTTCCAGCAAACACCGCTACATTCTAAGGTGTCGATGCACGTTTGACATCACACGAAATCATTCGACCACCGAGCGAGTAAATATGAACTCCTTCCCACAGCGAAGAATACTCTAGTGACAAACGCGCAAGTACTGTATAGTGAAGGGGGTATTTTTTGCCCCGCTTCACCATACAGCAATTACTGATTGAACAAAAACAAAAAAAGAACAGCGTTCGCCGCACACACAAAGCCGATATCATCCTCTTGCACAGCTGACAGAGAAACAACTCTTCTTAGCCGTTGTTGGTGACTAGAAACCAGCCGAGGGCATGGAAAGCAGCCGTGGATCGAGAGTGCAGAGTTACAAGTCGGCTCCAGTTCTGCTAGTAGCCTAGTACTCGAGATTCCCGCGAGAGTGCGGCTCGTATCCGAGTAGAACTTTGGAAGCATCAACGCGTTCGTCTATGATCGTCGTATACCGATCAAATGATCTAGTATTGCACCCTACTGTTGCGAGTCCGTGACTGTGCTACTAGTACATACCCGGGCGTGCACACACGGATCAGATGTTCTGCTCCGCGCGCTTCACTGAACGTCACCCCTACCGAGAGACATCTCATGTCTCCGTGGCTGCGACAAGCCTCAATAACGACTCATAGCGGCGATTCAGTTCAAGCACCGAGTGGGTTTTCTCCCCATCAGGTTTCTCCTTCATCCTCCATTCCTCTCTCTCTCTTCCCCGTCCTTCTTCCTCCCAGCTTCATATTCACCACCAACTGCTCCACACATTACACATCTCGTCGAGAACGAAAATAAGAGCCAAAACCCTCTCATTTCCCACAATCCACAATCACAATATCAATAATGGCTGCTTCTACCATCACTACTGGTGCCCCAACCCTCACCACCACTACCGGCAATAATGCCACCCTCGAGGCCATCAGCACTGTATGATGTTACCTACGATATTTAATCATTAAAAGCTTGCAACCTAACCAGATCATGGCAAATATGCCCCAGAATTCTCGGGCAACACTTCACGTGCCATCACTCGCTGGCCGAGTGACTTCAAACGCCTCGTTGGCAGCGACTCTCGCAGACGAGCGACGCAGCCAGACCATCTTCGATTTCCTCCCCAATTATGATGTAAGGAGACGGATGTTAGAGGCTGCTGATGAAGATGTAGCGAGTGAGGTATCCGAATGGCAGATCAGGAAGCGGGAAGAAATGGATGCAGACCTGAGGCGAGAGGAGGAGGAGGGTGCTGAGGCGAGGAGCCGGAGTCATGCCCGCTGTTCCTTCCCACACCATCATTCATGGTATCTCCTGATGAAGATGCAAGGTCGGGGCGGAGTAGGAAGAGGGAACAACATTTTTCTCTCCTAGTGTTATTTCTTTCGTGCACGCATATATCGTCGGATCAGGACACGGCGGGGGCAGGGGGCAGGGAAAGCTACTACAATGAAGCGGGCAAGGGATATCAACTATGGCCGCTGTAGGACGATGGATAGCGTTCGTCGAGCGTGAGCCACTTTCGCCCACGACGGGCGATCGGGCTTCCCGAAACAGACGTTGTACGAATCGCCAGTTTACCGGTCCAGCGGTAACGCCTACGCCGCGGATTCATGGTAAGGCAAATTCCGTCCTTCTTCAGCAGCTTGAACTGACTGTGACCATGCAGTGCCAACTAGGGTCCTGGGCGATATCACCAACGGACAACAACCACCGCGCCGTCGTGGAAGACGAGCGAATAGGACAACTTGGACGGACTTTGCGTCGAATTAAGTTCCTCTATCGAAAATAACTGCATCCTCAATGACTTTTTTTTTTGCACCCTTTGGACTTTCGAGCTAGCCGCGACGCTGCGAATACGGCGGTCGTAAGTGAGCAAATAGCCACCTGTTTTGCATTGTGCATTGCGCATTTGACATTTGGCATTTGGCTTTTTGCGACACGGGTTCTTGCCACCGACCGTTTTGAAAACAGCGCTAGTCGCCCCACCCCACACCACAAAAGAGCGCCCACAGAGAGAAAAAGAGAGAAAAAGAGAGAGCAAAAGGAAGCGGAAAAGGGCGAAAATTGCGACAGGATAGTAGGTGACAACAAGAAGACCATCAACCCCGCTAACTGGTAGCAGGCCGCCGAGCCAGATGTTGCGGGTGGAGTACGAGGCCGCACGACTGTTGCTGGCTGGTTGGCTGGAGCGCTGAGACGGAGTCAGGCATGGATGGAAACCCAAAAACAAAGCCCTCCGAGCAAGGAACTGTGCCCCATACACATACATGGCCGGACATGGCTAGTGAGCCGGTGCTGTGGAGTAGAGCGTCGACCAGAGGGGAGAAGTGAAGCACTCTACGCGTTGCTTTTTTATTTTTCTTCTTTTTTATTTTTCTTCTTTTTTCTTTGCTTCTTTTTTCTTTGCCTCTTTTTTCTTTTCTCTCCCCCCCGCAGCCCAACCCAAGGGTTCAGACGAAAATCATGGAGGGCAGGATAGAATGGAATGGAATAGGAATGGTGTATCGATGTGAGCCTCAGCCCGAGAGGGGAAGGGAAGGGAGCGGACTGCCCGATCCAGATTGCAGCTTACGGTGGCGATATCTTACCTACCAAGTGACCGCCGCAAACTCAAAGATGTGGTAGGTATCGGTCCTAGGTAGTAGGGTAGGGAGGGGAATGTGCACATTCTCTTCACTGTCTCATCTCAAGACTCAGCCTTGGTGTTCGCTGGTTTTCTGGGGGTAGCCACTGGTATCATAGTTACTACAGGCGAGGGTGTTCTGGTCCAGCTACTCGTATGATGTACAATACTCTAGGTATGATAGTGTTCTCCATAGTCCCGTCCAGGTTGCAGTGCGGACGGGACGGATTGCCAAGATCAAGTCCCATCCGACCTTTCTGGTGGACTAGTCCGTCCGAACACCGCTCCGGGACGGACTGCCAAGATACAGTCCAGTCCACTGCAGTGCGGGGCTCAGGACGGATGGGCTGGACTATGTCGAACACTAGATGACGAGGAGGAGGAGAAGGAGGAGGAGGAGAAGGAGTTGCTGACCGTCATAGGTAGCTCAGCCCGTCTACTCTACTCGATACCGTACCTGCCTACAAGCGCCCAGGCTTACTTGTCGTCGACGTCGAAGTCGCCACTCGGAGCGGTGATCACAAACCAACCGCATTGGAGCGGTTTCCGAGGCTGACCAGGCCGTGCCATCGGAGCGGGCAAGGGCGGGGCAGCGCCGGGGATTGGGGTGGCCGAGATCTCAGCTCATAATTAACCGTTTATTTTTTCGCTAGAGGCCGGGGAGCAGATGCGATGGGTCGGACTGGGGTGGCTGTCACGCTGTCACCCTGCAAAAAATAACGGGATGCGGTTAAGTTGAGAAGAAGAAGAAGAAGCTTATGCAGAGTTGCTGCAGGGGAGGAGACGGTGGACCGTGGCACGGATCCAACCATCCAGCTTCCAGACCGCGCAACGGATGCGCAGCCGCGACGAGGCTGCGGAGTTGGTCGATCATTGTTCTACTATACTCGGGGCACGACTAACCGAGTAGGCCGGGGCCTCGTTTTGA